AAAATACAGTGGACGCTCGTGTTGCGAACGTGATCTGTGCAGGATGCACATTCGCAACCCGCAGCGTTCGCAACCCGCGGTGGTGCGTCTGCACATGTGCGGGTTGCGATTCGGCGCTCCTGCGCATGCCAAAGCGTGATTTAGCGCTTCTGCACATAGAATCATAGAGTTGGAAGAGACCACAAGGGCCATCGAGTCCAACCCCCTGCCAAGCAGGAAACACCATCAGAGCACTCCTGACATATGGTTGTCAAGCCTCTGCTTAAAGACCTCCAAAGAAGGAGACTCCTCCATACTCCTTGGCAGCAAATTCCACTGTCAAACAGCTCTTACTGTCAGGAAGTTCTTCCTAATGTTTAGGTGGAATCTTCTTTCTTGTAGTTTGGATCCATTGCTCCGTGTCCGCTTCTCTGGAGCAGCAGAAAACAACCGCCAAAACCCAGAAGTAACCCGTTCTGGTACTTCCGGGTTTCGGTGGTCCGTAACCCAAAAAAACTCAACCTGAAGCATCTGTAACCCGAGGTATGACTGTAATAAATATGTTGTTGTTGTTATATAATACAGTGTGGTCTAATGGTTAGAGCATTGGACTGGGACCTAGAGACTAGGGTCCAAATCCTCCTCTGCTCAGCAAGGAAGCTCACTGGGCATGACTTTGGGCCAGTTACTGCCCTCAGCCCAACCTCCCTCACAGGGTTGTTGTAGTGATTAAATGAGGGGGAGAGAACCATGTATGCCATCTCGAGCTCCTTGGAAGGGAAAAAACCCATTGGAAATAAATGCAATTAATAAATAAATAGAAAAATAAATATTATTGTTATTATTATTTAGTCACTGTACTTGTGGAAATGACTGAAAGCCACAGAGAAGTGCTAAAACCAATTAGGATAAGCAAACAATAAAACAATAAACAATGAAAAGCTTTAGAGGTCCTGTCCTACTAAAATAGGCCACAAATACTTAAAAACCCTTCAAATGAAGGGCCAAAAGCCTGGCTAAGAAGTATTTGTCTGGTGCCTAAAAATACATAAAGGTGGTACCAGGTAAACTTCCCAGGGGAATGCATTCCACATGCAGGGAGCCACCACTGAAAAAGCCCTGTTCTCGTGTTGACACCCTCCAGAATTCCTTTTGATGCTGCAGATGTCAGACTGCAGCTTCAATCATCCCTGATCATTGGCCCTGCTGGCTGGGGATGATGGGAGCTGGAGTCTAGCAACACGTGGAGGTTCACAGGTTTCCCACCCTCTCTTTATACCGCTGCAAGTGCATTTAATATGTGATCTTTGATTGGCTGGGGCCTGATTTGTCTGGGATAATAACATATGGATAATAATAAAAATAATTTATGATTTATACCCCACCCATCTGGCTGGGTTTCCCCAGCCACTCTGGGCAGCTACCAACAGAATATTAAAACATGATAAAACTTCAAACATTAAAACCTTCCATATACATCCATATTCAGATGTCTTCTAAAAGCTATATAGTTATTTATCTCCTTGACCTCTGATGGGAGGGTATTTCACAGGGCGGGTGCCACTACCGAGAAGGCCCTCCGCCTGGTTCCCTGCAACCTCACTTCTCACAGTGAGGGAACCAGCAGAAGGCCCCCGGAGCTGGACCTCAGTGTCCAGGCTGGACGATGGGGGTGGAGACGTTCCTTCAGGTATACTAGGCTGAGGCCATTTAGGGTTTTAAAAGTCAGCACCAACACTTTGAATTGTGCTCAGAAACGTACTGGGAGCCAATGTAGGTCTTTCAGGACCGGTGTTATATGGTCTTGGTGGAGGGCAACAGATGTTACCCATCCATTCTATACCCCAATGGGGCCTCCACTAGAGGAGAACAGGAAAGGGATCCTGAGGCTTACTCAAGAGTGCAACTACAGTGAGCGGATTCCACAACAGGAACTGTACAGGAAGAAACAGAAAAGTAGACACTCTATTCTGCCTTGGTGAGACCACACCTGGAACACTGCGTCCAGTTCTGGGCACCACAATTTAAGAAAGATGTTGACAAGCTGGAAGGTGTGCAGAGGAGGGCAACCAAGATGATCAAGGGTCTGGATGAGGAACGGTTGAAGGAGCTGGGTATGTTTAGCCTGGAAAAGAGGAGACTGAGATACGATGGCCATCTTCAGATATCTCAAGGACTGTGGCATATAAGATGGAGCAAGCTTGTTTTCGCCTCCTGAGGGTAGGACCCAAACCAATGGCTTCAAGTTACAAGAAAGGAGATTCCATCACCCCAGAATTGGCCCTACTAAACATCTTCCAAGACAACGATGCCCATTTACACCACAAAGCACTCATAACTCACCTACTTTCAGCAGCCAGAAACACCATAACCAGACACTGGAGAGACCTGTCAGGAGTAAGCATGGACCAATGGTACCAAATAGTATGGGAAACAGCCCTACTAGAAAAATTAACCAATAAACTGAAACTGACACGGGGACAAACAGAAGAAGACGCCTTTATGGCTCCCCTTTATCACATACACAGCCCAACAAGACAATGACAACAATCCACCAACAGCATACAAATCAATATGGCTAACCTGATCCAAAACACCCGCCCACCCCACTCACACATAAAAACAAAGATCACCACAGCCAATCACAAACAAACAAGGCCAATCTCAACCTCTCTCACCACCAAAGGAACACAAGTGAACAGCAGAGAACCTGCACAAGCAACGCTGACACCAAACCCTACATACATTAAGCAAAATAGAAACATCACCACCCGACCCCCCCATCTCCCCCCCCCATGTCTCAACAAATGAAACTGATTTGTAAAAATGTTACACGGAAAAAATACGAGAGACATTACACATACTTCTGTAAAACAAGAAAATATTTAATAAAAAGAAAGAAAGGAGATTCCGACTAAACATCAGGAAGAACTTTCTGACTATTTGACACAAAAATGGACTCCCTCTGGAGGTGGTGGACTTTCCTTCACTGGAGGTTTTTAAGGTTGGATGGCCAACTGTCATAGATGCTTCAGTCGAGATGGTTGGACTAGATGACCATTTGAGGAGGGGGTCCATTCCAACTCTACAGTTCTAAGATTCTACATCTGTGGTCTGCCTACATTTGGCATACAGTTCGGTCCCAGTGAACACATTTTGACAAAAGAAGATTGTGGAGCTAGGAAAGTTGCTGAAAAGAAAGAATAGTGGGATTTGTTGTGACAAGATGTGGCAATAGCCATTGGCTTAAGTAAAGGTAAAGGGACCCCTGACCATTAGGTCCAGTCGTGGCCGACTCTGGGGTTGCGGCGCTCATCTCACTTTATTGGCCGAGGGAACTGGCGTACAGCTTCTGGGTCATGTGGCCAGCATGACTAAGCCGCTTCTGGTGAATGAGAGCAGCGCACGGAAACGCCGTTTACCTTCCCACAGGAGTGGTACCTATTTATCTACTTGCACTTTGACGTGCTTTCAAACTGCTAGGTGGGCAATTGGCTTAGATTGTTATTAAAAGCGGTATCGGGCATGATAGGAAAATGGAACTCCCATGGTCAGAGGCAGCTACCCATAAATAACAGGTGCTGGGTAGACAAAGGAGGACGCTGCTTCTTTATGCCTTGCTTGTGAGCGTCACAGAGTGCTATCTGGTGGCTGGACCCATCAATCTCATCCCTATGCATTCCCCTTCCTTGCTTTCCTCTTCCCTCCGCATTCCTTCTTCCTCTTGTATCATCAGAAAATAAAAAGAGCCTGCTGCATCAGGCCAAATACACAAATAGTCCAGCATGGTGTTCTCACACCGGCCAATGTGATTGTGTCTTCTTAGGCTGGAAGCCTTTGGGCAAGCTTTCAACATTTTATCTTAGGGGAAGAAATGGAGGCGGTGAGAGATTTTACTTTCTTGGGCTCCATGATCACTGCAGATGGTGACAGCAGTCACAGAATTAAAAGACGCCTGCTTCTTGGGAGAAAAGCAATGACAAACCTAGACAGCATCTTAAAAAGCAGAGACATCACCTTGCCGACAAAGGTCCATATAGTTAAAGCTATGGTTTTCCCAGTAGTGATGTATGGAAGTGAGAGATGGACCATAAAGAAGGCTGATCGTCGAAGAATTGATGCTTTTGAATTATGGTGCTGAAGGAGACTCTTCAGAGTCCCATGGATTGCAAGAAAAATCAAACCTATCAATTCTTAAGGAAATCAGCCCTGAGTGCTCACTGGAAGGACTGATCCTGAAGCTGAGGCTCCAATCCTTTGGCCACCTCATGAGAAGAGAAGACTCCCTGGAAAAGACCCTGATGTTGGGAAAGATGGAGGGCGCAAGGAGAAGGGGAGACAGAGGACGAGATGACTGGACAGTGTTCTCGAAGCTACCAGCATGAGTTTGACTAAACTGCGGGAGGCAGTGGAAGACAGGAGTGCCTGGCGTGCTCTGGCCCATGGGGTCACGAAGAGTCGGACTAAACAACAGCAACAACAGCATCTTGAAAACTTATATTAAAAAAACCAAACAGTTTTATTTGAATCATCCAATAAAAAGGATCATACAGATCTTTTAAAAAAAAGACCACACTGGCGTAAAAAATAGGAGAAGCCATAAACTCTTCAACTGCCACATACAGTTTGCTAACTGCTAATAATTGTTTCGACAAAAGAGGGGCGGGGTGAATGGAACTTCCTCGCGCGCATGCGTCCTTAAGAGGACTTCTTACCGAATGTACAGCGGGAACTCCGCCCCTTTGGAACAGCTGCGAGGAAGCAAGGAAAAAAGAGAGAGTGAAATGGATACATTTCCCGCCAATCAGCGCTCGGAGCCCTGAGCGCAGCTACCGTAGCAGCCAATGGGAGGCCGAGGATTGCGGCGCTGGAGGCTTTGAGGACGTGGCTTGGACTTGCGTCTTTCTCCCCCTTCCTTTTGATCCGTCTTCAAGTCTCCCTCCCCCTCCCCCCACCTTGATTTCAAGTTGATCACACTATCAGAAGAGGGGGCCCCGTTTTGCAAACTATCGCGGGGAGCCATGGCTTATCCCCCTGGCTATGGGGGCCCAGGTAAGATCTTTAGGGGGCCTCGGAGGGGGGAAACGGAAAGGGGGTAACAGGCCCCAGACGTGGCTTCAGTGTTGGGGTGCCGATTCCCTCCCCCGCGCAGTTGTATCCAGACAGTATGGAAGAGGGGTCTGCTAAGGGCCTTGGCGCCAAAAGACCTTTCTCTCTCCCCGCCCCCGATAATCCTCTTGCTTCCTAAGGGGAGCTAAGTGGAAGGGGCCTTAACTCGGCCGCACAGCACGTGCTTTTTGGGCTCTTGGACCGTCCTGGGTTCAGTTCCAAAGAGACTTATAATCATAATTAAAACGTCCTCTTTGCTACGTGTTCTGCCCTCGTGGATAAAAGAGAGAAAGAGAGACTTAGCCTCTTTCACAAATCCTTAGCAAAAAAATAAATAAATGTTGTTGCCTTCGTCTTCTTTCTGGTGTGTTTTAAAAATTATTATTACTAGTCCTGGGTTGTATCCCAACTCAGTTCCACTTGGGATTTAACTGCTGAAATTAATGGACCTAAGTTAGTCATGCTTTTTAATTTAAGTGGGTCTGTTCCAAACTAGCACTGGATACAGTTTGTTGTTATTGCTATGTGACGTGCTGTAAAAGTTGTGGGTGGGTGAGTGTTTTCCTTTTCTTGTTTTTAATTGATTTTCATTAAACTGTACAGTGGGTTACATATGCTTCAGGTTACAGACTCCGCTAACCTAGAAATAGTGCTTCAGGTTAAGAACTTTGCTTCAGGATGAGAACAGAAATCTTGTGGCGGCAGCGGGAGGCCCCATTAGCTAAAGTGGTGCTTCAGGTTAAGAACAGTTTCTAGTTTGTTTATTCCGATAATGAATTCCTCCACTGCCAGGTGGATAATAACACTGGGTTAGTCTTGTCTCGCGAAAAGGAGGGATCGCTGGTCTCTTGAGAGGTTTGTAGCAGTGGGCTTTAAGGGGTAGTAGGCCATAGTTTAGAAAAAATGATGAGGATTCCTGTGGAGCTTCTCAATGAGAATTTGGGAGCCTGTGTGGGTGTCCAGTCACTGCTGAACTACAACTCCCATCATCCCTTGCCATTGCTCATGTTAGCTGGGGTTGATGGGAGTTGAAGTCTAACTACAACTGTGCGGCTCTTTCAGAGTGAAGCATTGCAAGCTTTACTCTCTCCTCCCCCCCACCCCCGGTCTCATATTGTAGAGTTGGAAGGGACCCCAAGGGTCATCTAGTCCAGCCCCCCGCGCAATGCAGGAATCTTTTGACCAATGTGGGGCTCGAATGCACAACCCTGCGATTAAGAGTCTCATGCTCTTAAGAGCTATCCCTGTCTCCTCTGCCTTTGGCAAACCTCATCCGCCAAGTCGCCTTTCTCTCAAGATTTCTACCCTTCAGATGCACAAACACTCAGTCTTCCGTCTCTCACCTCCCACTTGGTTCTCTGCAGGCAGAGGCTTGGAAGAGACTCTGTCATGCTTAGCAAGAAACCACGTTGCTCCTTTCCTTCCCTACTCGCCACCTTTGGGCTCAGAAACAGCGTTTCCTCCTGCTGGAGGCCTTCGCAGGAGCATAGACGTTCTCGCTGGGCTTGCCTCCCTTGGCGACTGTTTTGTCGTGGCCCCAAAACTCTCTCGTTGGGCAGGGGCCAGGTAGCTTGGCCTCGTATCTAATTGGCAGCCTCCTTATTACAGGGGGATCGTAGTTTCCTTCCTGAAGGAGCTTAGTCCTCCTGAGATTCTTATCTACCGTTGTGAAACAGAGCTGAGCGTCCCGTAAGGAAATAAACCACATATTGGCCTTTATAATAATTGTGCTCAGATAAGATCCTTGGGTTAGGGACTTGGGTGGCGCTGTGGTCTAAACCACAGAGCCTTGGGCTTGCCAATCAGAAGGTCAGCGGTTTGAATCCCCACTACCCGGTCCCTGCTCCTGCCAACCTAGCAGTTCGAAAGCACGTCAAAGTGCAAGTAGATAAATAGGTACCCCTCCGGCGGGAAGGTAAACGGCGTTTCTGTGCGCTGCTCTGGTTCGCCAGAAGCGGCTTAGTCATGCTGGCCACATGACCCGGAAGCTGTACGCTGGCTCCCTCGGCCAATAAAGCGGGATGAGCGCCACAACCCCAGAGTCGGCCACGACTGGACCTAAGGTCGGGGGTCCCTTTACCTAAGATCCTTGGGACGTTATGTAACCCATGGTAGGTGTTTGTTCTTCCAAGCTCTTGTAAGGGTGTATCTGCCCATCTGATAGGCCTTCTTTTCTTTAAAAAAAATCTCTCTCCTCCCTACTAAAACCCCGTCTCTTGTAGGTTCTAAACACAGGACAAGGATCCCTCCCGTGCCGCAGAACGCAGATGCCCCCCAGCTCTTTGACGACACCAGTGCAGCCTACGGCCCCCAGCAGCCGGGTTACCCGGCCCCAAGCATCGACATGGGTTTCAACCAGATCTTTGCCGACCCCGTGGCCAACGTAGCGATGGCCTACGGCACCACCATCGCATCTCAGGGCAAGGACATCGTGCACAAGGAGGTAGGAAGACGCATTCATCCTATGGACTAGGCTTGTACGTCCAAAACGCTGTTACACCTCTTCCTAAACAGTTGTGGCTTCCCCCAAAGGACTCTGGGGGCTGTAGTTTAAGTGTGCTGTGAGTTGGTAGTTCCCAGAGTGGTTTAGCAAGTAGTCTCTGTTCCCATGGAAATTTGGAGGAGGCTAGGGGTCTCTGAACGATGTCAGACTACAGTTCCCAGGTCGTCTGGGGGAAGCCTGTATAAAGTGGTGCGGTGCTGCTTTTAATGTAGGGTGCACGTGGGGCCCTAAAGTCATTGTATCATAAGCTTCCATGGCTGCATATTTCCTTCTGTACCCCCAAAGATTCCTGGGAACTGTAGTTCACCCCTTGCAGAGCTACAGTTCCAAGCACCATTAGCAAATAATGGTGGAAGGGGAGGCCATGGCAAGGTTCTTTAAATGCGTAATGCAGGTGGGGCTGAGCTTAGGCTTGGTTCATTCTCCCCTTCTGGGTTTTGTGTGCTTCCTGTGCTCTTAACTAGCTACAGGTTTTGCCCCCCCCCCCCTCATGCTTTTGGGACCCCCTCTCTAATATAAAACACACTTTTTTTTTTGCCAGCATGCTACAAAACTGGTGGAGGGGAGGGATAGGGGAAGAGATATCATTATACAGTGGTACCTTGGGTTACATACACTTCAGGTTACAGACTCCACTAACCCAGAAATAGTACCTCGGGTTAAGAACTTTGCTTCAGGATGGGAACAGAAATCGCGCAGCCCCATTAGCTAAAGTGGTGCTTCAGGTTAAGAACAGTTTCAGGTTAAGAACAGACGTCCGGAACGAATTAAGTACTTAACCCAAGGTACCACTGTACTTGTCGACACAAAGTCTGCACCTATAAGCAATGTGTTCATAAGTTGTGATTGTTGTCGTATCTTCCATCCATTGACTGAAAGGGGCCATAGATTTATATTCCCAGTACATCAGTATCGGGTTTTTTTGGGTGTAGTAAGGGCACAGTGAATCCATTTATCCTGTCCAGTTGTCAGATTCCTTACGGAATCGTAGAATTGTAGAGAAGGAAGGGACCACAAGGGTCATCTAGTCCAACCCTCTGTAATGCAGCAATGTTTGGTCCAATGTGGGGGATGAACTCACGACCCTGAGGTTAAGAATCTCACACTCTTATCGGCTGAGCTATCTCCCAGGTATAGTAGGCGTGTAATTCAGAAGAATACTTTCCTCTGAGCTGCATAATTTTTCATTCTTGAATTTTGCTTCCATCAGATCCATCGGTTTATGTCCATGAACAAGCTGAAATACTTCTTTGCAGTGGACACCACTTACGTGATGAAGAAGCTTGCCCTGTTGGTGTTTCCTTATGTACACCAGGTACAGATAGGGAGGTGGCGCTTTGCCCGCTGTTTCGGTTTGGGGGTCTTGGTTTTATTTATTTACAGCTTTTACATCCCGCCCTTCAGCTGAAAAAGGCCCTTCATAGTGGCATACAGTTCTGAGATGGCCCCTCCCAGCCCTCAGGCTAACCACCGTAAAAAGATACGTCACGTGAGGAAACAGGAGGGAGGAGGGAGGAGGAAAATAGCAAGCTCAAGCACAGGTTTCCAAAGTTACAGTTCTTAGTGTTAAAGTCTGTGTCAGTGGCAGTTCTGGCACTCTTGCCCTTGTTAAAGACCAGTGCCACTTCCATGGATGAGATCCTGGAGCAGAGCAGGTGACAGACATCTAGTTCAGGAGGACAGGACAGTTTCTGCCACATAGTTCTTTCCTCAGACTGATAACTTGGCAGCAGTTAGGATAATCACAGGAAGGGACTTAAAGGGTCATTATAGCAACTTAGAGACTGCGCTGCTGGATTCCATTCTCTGCTATTGGTGGATGGGGGAAAGAATCTGGGTGTGTTAAAAAAAGAGAAGACATGTACCCACAGTATTTCCAGGCACGTACAGAGTGCCTTTCCCATGCCATTACACTGGGCCTCAGCAAGGGTGGTGGTTGGGGCTAATAATAATAATAATAATAATAATAATAATAATAATAAATTACTCATACTTTGCCCATCTGACTGGGTTGCCCCAGCCACTCTGGGTGGCTTGCAACAAATTAAAAACGCAGCAAAACACCAAAGATTAAAAACTTCCCTAAACAGGGCTGCCTTCAGGCATCTTCTAAAAGTCAGATAGTTGTTTATTTCCTTGACATCTGGTGGGAGGGCGTTCCACAGGGCGGGCGCCACTACCGAGAAGGCCCTCTGCCTGGTTCCCTGTGACCTCACTTCTCACAATGAGGGAACCACCAGAAGGCCCTCGGAGCTGGGCCTCAGTGTCCAGGCTGAACGATGGGGGTGGAGACGCTCCTTTAGGTATACAGAGCCAAGGTGAAGTTTTACAAAATTATGCATGGTACAGAAGAAGTGGATAGAGGAGTTTTTTTCCTCCCTCTTTCATAATAACTGGAAATGGGGGTCATCCAGTGAAGCGAAGTGGGGGCAGATTCAAGACAGATGAAAGGGAGGGCTTCTTCACCCGGCGTATGTAGTTAACTATAAGGCAGGTTCCTATGTTTCTAGTTATGTCAGCCATTTATTTCAGAACCATGAGGACTGGCATCTTAGAAGGCAGCTTCTTATGTTCCTACATTTTGTTTGAAAGGGACAGCTTGGGTGCAGGATACCTTAAGGATCACTTGAGAGGCCTTGTATCCCAGCTCAATCACTGAGATTGTTTGGAGGAGAGCGGCTTGCTATTCCTCTGTGTTTCAGCCTGACTTCAATTCAAAGTTGGGCATTAGGTTGTCGAACACTCTTCAGTCAGAGATGCGGCAGGCACCCTCGCTGTTGACTTTCATGAGTCTCTTGAAGACTTTTTAATGCTATCAGGCCTGGGCAGATGTTTCAAGTTTAATTCGCATGTCACCTCAATGCATATGTGTATTTTTTTAAAACAAAATCTGTGGTGCTTTATGTTTTAACAGTGAACGCTGCTCAAATATTCTACAATACAGCTGTACAGTGGTACCTCGGGTTACATATGCTTCAGGTTACATACGCTTCAGGTTACAGACTCCGCTAACCCAGAAATAGTGCTTCAGGTTAAGAACTTTGCTTCAGGATGAGAACAGAAATCGTGCTCCGGCGGCCCGGTGGCAGCAGGAGGTTCCATTAGCTAAAGTGGTGCTTCAGGTTAAGAACAGTTTCAGGTTAAGAACGGACCTCCGGAACGAATTAAGTACTTAACCCCCGAGTTACCACTGTACAGAAAAATAAAAATAAAATATCCGCGCTTTTCCCACCTCATCTTCAGTGCCATTTGAGAACAAATGTGAACCCCCCCTTAAAAAAATAATAATAGTGTTTTGAAACAGGTTTTGGGCAGCCAGCTCTCACCTGTGCCTAATATTGTTCCTCTACAGAACTGGGAAGTCCGCTACCACAGAGATGTCCCCCTCACGCCTCGGCAGGACGTCAACGCTCCAGACCTCTACATTCCTAGTGAGTGGAGGCCTTCTATTGAACATAGGAGGGTTTCTTTACTTATTCCTTATTTTACCGTTAGTAACAACCCAAAAGTACAGTAGCACAGTGTTTCATCGTACCATATTCAAAGCAAACAAGCAATCAGTAACAATAGAAAGAAATGGTAGCACACCAATATAAATCAGACCATCCTTATTTCCTGAGCTGGCGTGGAGGGTGAATGTTTAGCACTGGAGTACGAAGCACAGGAAATAAAATCTCACCTGATGACAAGAAAGCCTTCTGGATCCTCTGCCAGCTTTCTGTACCCCCAGAAACACAGTTTATTTTTTTCTGTGGTAGCCAAGGTCCACAAGTTTTTTGGTTTTATTTTTTTACCACAAATGCATATTTCCCCCCCAAGGTTTTCCATTACTGGGCTGCTGAAATCCTAGCTAATGTCCATGCCAAACTTTTTTTATAGTGTCAGAGTTTTATGTTGCCTGTCTACATACAGTGGTACCTCGGGTTGGTTACAGACGCTTCAGGTTACAGACGCTTCAGGTTACAGACTCTGCTAACCCAGAAATAGTACCTTGGCTTAAGAACTTTGCTTCAGGATGAGAGCAGAAATCGCGTGGCGGCAGCGGGAGGCTCCTTTAGCTAAAGTGGTACCTCAGGTTAAGAACAGTTTCAGGTTAAGAACGGACCTCCAGAACGAATTAAGTTCTTAACCTGAGGTACCACTGTATTGATAGTTTTTGGGAAAACTGAACAGGTGATTCATAGCAGCATTTCTTGATGTTCACCTCCGCCCTGGCCTAATACCCAGGGTTTGTTAGTTTTAAAAAGCACTTTCTAAAGCAGAGGAGGGGAGTGGTTTTCAGACTGAGGGCCACATTTCTATGTACGCAGCCTCCTGGGGGCCACATTCAATTTGTGGGCGGGGCCAGAGGAATAAGTGTATTAGGGTGCTTTAGGAGACATCGCTATTCCTCTCACGGAGCTACAACTCCCAAAGTAGCTTAACAATGAATCCCTTTTCACAGGGAGCGCTGGATATTGCAGCTCTGTGAGGGGAATTGGGGGCGGTGTCTTCTAACAACTCTCGGTACCCTTTACAAACTAGGTTTTCCAAGATTTGCTGGGGGACTCCATCACTGTTTAAAGTGCTGTGGTCTTGCTTTAAATGTGCAGCGCAGATGGGATCCAGTTTCCAAAGCAACAGTGTTAAAGAATTGCTTTGAATTTTTAGTGTACAGTGGTGCCTCGCAAGACGAAAATAATCCGTTCCGCGAGTCTCTTCGGCTAGCGGTTTTTTCGTCTTGCGAAGCAACCCTATTGGCGGATTAGCGCTCTTAGCGGCTTAGCGGCTATTAAAGGCTTAGCGGCTAAAAGGCTATTAGCAGCTTAGCGGCTATTAAAGGCTTAGCAGCTAAAAGGCTATTAGCGGCTTAGCGGCTATTAAAGGCTTAGCGGCTTAGCGGCTAAAAGGCTATTAGCGGCTTAGAAAAAGGGGGAGGGAAGCGAAAAAAATCGCAAGACTCGCAAGACGTTTCCATCTTGCGAAGCAAGCCCATAGGGAAAATCGTCTTGCGAAGCGCATCGAAAAACGGAAAACCCTTTCGTCTAGCGGGTTTTTCGTCTTGCGAGGCATTCGTCTTGCGGAGCACCACTGTATCTCCTAGAGCAGGGATGAGGAGCCTGTGTCTCTGCGGGTGTCATTGGACTCCAGCCCCCATCATCCCAAACCTTTCGTCACCTGGGCTGAATTACAGGCTCCCCGTTCTTGTTTTAGAGTTAAGCTAGACAGGATAGCTAATTATAGTAGAAGCTAACTCTCTACCCTTTCCATCCCTGCCACCCTGGAAAACTGCAGTTTGTTCCATCAAAGTGGCTAGTTCTCATGAGTGTGATTCTTATTCTTCCCCTCTCTCCAGGTATGGCTTTCATTACCTATATCTTACTTGCTGGGATGGCACTTGGTTTACAGAAAAGGTAAGCGACGAGGTTTCCTCCCTCCCAAAAAACCTCTTAATTCCCACATCTGGAGTCACAGATTCCTTATTCCTGCTTCATTTCATAAATTGCCCTCTGTAGTAATGGTGCTAAATAATCATAGAGTTGGGAGGGACTAGATGGCCCTTCCAACTCTATGATTACAAGTAGGCAGAGATGCTCTTGTAAAACTCGACTTCCTTCCTCCTCTTTCTGTGGTTCCTTACTTTTATTTTTATCATATCCTGCATATTACAAATTAACTTATTCTTTTCTTCATCTACTTTAATTATATACTCTTATGAAACTGCATGTTATTGCAATAATCCTGCCAATGTCCTCATCTGTTTACAATTTGTTTTTTAAAATATTCAATAAACCATTTCCATGCTTTTATAAAAAGTTTGTTATCTTTATTTCTTATTTTTCCGGTAAGTTTCACCGTTTCTGCATAGTCCACAAGTTTTTGTATCCATTCTTCTTTCATTGGGACTTCTTTCCATTTTGGGGTAGATAACATTCTTGCCGCTGAATAAATTTATATACTGTTTAGGTAGTTCTACCCCTATAATTCCCAGAAGAAAAGCTTCTGTTTTTTTCTGGGGTTTTTTACAAATGTTATTTTAAACATCTTTTTCAGTTCATCATATATCATTTCCCAGTAAGCTTTAACCTTGCCACAAGACCACATAGGATAAAAAGTACCTTCCTTCTCTTTGCATTTCCAACACTTATTCGATTTTGATTTATACATTTTTGGCAGTTTACTCGGTGTTAGATACCATCGATATAACATTTCCATATAGTTTTCTCTTAAGCCATAGCATGCTGTGAATTTTATATCCGTATTCCACAATCGTTCCCACGCTTCCATATCTATATTATAACCAATATCTATTGCCCAATGTATCATTGAGGATTTTACTTGCTCCTCCTTTGTCTGACAATCCAATAATATCTTAGACATTATAGACAGCACATCAAAATTGCATTCCAACAGCCAGACTCCTCTTACATATTTATGTTGGTTCCTGACATTCATTCCCTTCTGCTCTTTCTGCCTTGTTCCTTCCTAGGTTTTCACCAGAGGTCCTGGGCATGTGTGCCAGCACGGCGTTCGTGTGGGTCGTGATTGAGGTTCTCGCCCTGTTGCTGGGCCTGTACCTTGTGACGGTCCAGAGCGACCTGGGCACCTTTGACCTGCTTGCTTACTGCGGCTACAAATACGTTGGGTAAGTGCGCCTCTACCTTCTGCCTTGTGGCCGGTACAATGTCAGCCTAGCGCACTGGGAAGGAACCATAAGCCCTCTGAATATTGGATGGACTCCAGCTCCTATCAGTCCAAGCCAGCAAGGCCAGTGTTCAGGAATGACGGCGGCTGGGGTCCAGCAACATCAGGAGGGCCACATCTCTGGCCTAGCGGTCCTTGGGACCATAGGAGGCTGTGTTTACGTGAGGTCAGACTTCTTGACACATGTTCATCCAACTTGGCTCTTCCACTTGGGGTCTTGAGTGGTGTTTAAACTGACGCTTGTATTTTCTGCGTTGCGGCTTTAATGTGGCTCAGGACCACAATGCCTCAAGGATTGCCTCTCCTCACATAAACTGAATCAGACCCTGCAATCACTCTCTGAGGCTCTTCTCTGTGTGCCCCTCTCTGGGATGTCCAGAGGGTAGCAACATGGGGACGGGCCTTTTCAGTGGTGGCTCCCTGCTTGTGGAATGCTGTCCCCAGCGAGGCTCACCTGGCACCCTCTTTATCTAGTTATAGGCACCAGGCAGTAACTTTTATTTAGTGTGACCTTTTGGCCCTTAATTAGAGTACCTGTGGCCTCTTTCAGTCGGGCTGGATCTGTAAGACCTGTCTTTTGTGTGTGTAGTTGTGTTTTGGTTGTGTTTTGAAGTGTTGTGTTTGCTGCAATTGTTTGTAGTGTTTACCTTGTGTTTGTAAGTTGCTTTGGGTCACTTTTGTGAGGAATATACAGAGTATTATTATTATTATCCACCCCCTTTTTGCAATGACTTCGCCACACACCTCCATGCAGTGTTGTGATGGCATCTCAGTGAGGTGCAGCCCTCTGAATGTTATTGGACTCCAGCTCCCATCAGCCTTAGCCAGCAGTGATCAGGGATGATGGGAATTGTAGTCCAGCAACACCTGGAGCACCATCCACATTCCCCATCCATTCTAGGTCCTGCCACTCTCCACAAATTCTCTATAATGTGCCTCTGGGCATTTGCCAAATACAGCCACCACCTAATGTCCCATCCATGTTCAGATGGGAAGCAGAGACTTCTGACTCAGAAGGTGAATGTACAGGCAGCCTTTTAAAAACACATGTGCACAGACATATTTATTTGGTTAAATTTGAAATTGTGATATACATTTAAATTTTATAACTGAAAAGATTGTTCTGGGGAAATTTCCCAACACAGTAAGTTAGCAAATATGTGATTGATATCTGCAGTATCTATCCAGAGGGTCTGTACAATTATGCTAGAGTTGCCACATTTCAAAAAGTGAAAATTAGGACACAAGTTGTTGAGCTCAAAAAAAAAAACAACCCTGAAGTTTTTGAGCTGTTTTTAAGGAAAGTCGCCAAAATCTAGACTTCAGACATGGGTTTCCATACATGGGTTTTCCTGGACATTTAAGTGAATTCTGCCTGGACACTGTTTCTGACTGCTTACTTTTGGCAGCCCTAAATTATGCATACACATAAATGTCACATATAAGGAAACAGTTCTGCAGTTACCTTGTTTAAAAACTACCGCCATCTGCCTCCCATAATGCTTCCAGTATTACTCCCCCAAAATTTTAAGTTGAACTTGTATGATTCTAGCGCCGAATATATTTATGCCAACAATTTTAAGAATCACCCCCCCCCGCCCTCACGATTACATCATTTCCCCAAAGTTTCTTTTTAATATGCTCTGTGTAGGCACCTTTGTGTCCCGGCACCTCGTAAGCTTTTAAAAATTTCTATAAAGCTTTCAGTGCTGAGAACTGACATGCGTCTCGCCTGACTAAAAGGGGGTGATTGGCAGAGATCTTAACAACAGCTGTGAATCTCAGAATGCTGGGTCTGGATGACAGCCTTGACAGGAGGGGATTTAACAGCCATGATCACACTTGCCATTTCCTCCTCCTCCTCCTCCAGGATGATCCTAGCCGTGGTGGGCGGCCTCGCGTTTGGCAGCAATGGCTATTATATCGCCTTGGCTTGGGCTTCCTGTGCTCTTATGTATTTCACGGTGAGTACTGGGATCTGGACGGGACGTGGGTGGCGCTGTGGGTAAAAGCCTCAGCGCCTAGGGCTTGCCGATCGAAAGGTCGGCGGTTCGAATCCCCGCGGCGGGGTGCGCTCCCGTTGCTCGGTCCCAGCGCCTGCCAACCTAGCAGTTCGAAAGCACCCCAAGGTGCAAGTAGATAAATAGGGACCGCTTACTGGCGGGAAGGTAAACGGCGTTTCCGTGTGCGGCTCTGGCTCGCCAGATGCAGCTTTGTCACGCTGGCCACGTGACCCGGAAGTGTCTCCGGACAGCGCTGGCCCCTGGCCTCTTAAGTGAGATGGGCGCACAACCCCAGAGTCTGTCAAGACTGGCCCATACGGGCAGGGGTACCTTTACCTTTACCTTACTGGGATCTGGGCCCTGGCACTCCCAGGGTGCCGTGGGGCAGGAAATCTCGTCAGCAGGCCTTTCCCGGGGACGTACAGAGTTCCTGGTAGATCAGACCAAAGGGAATGAGGAGCCTGCGAGCTTTTGCATGCTGCTAGACGATAATGACAACAACACTCACATTTAAAACATTTATGGCACCACTTAATAATAATAATTTATTATTTGTACCCCACCCATCTGGCTTGGTTTCCCCAGCCACTCTGGGCGGCTTCCAACAAAGATTAAAAATACATTAGAATGTCACACATTAAAAACTTCCCTGAACAGGGCTGCCTTCAGATGTCTTCTAAATGTTAGGTAGTTGTTTATTTCTTTGACATCTGGTGGGAGGGCATTCCACAGGGTGGGTGCCACTACCGAGAAGGCCCTCTGCCTGGTTCCCTGTAACTTGGCTCCTCGCAATGAGGGAACCGCCAGAAGGCCCTCGGCGCTGGACCTCAGTGTCCGGGCAGAACGATGAGGGTGGAGACGCTCCTTCAGGTATACTGGATCGAGGCCATTTAGGGCTTTAAAGGTCAACACCAACACTTTGAATTGTGCCCGGAAACGTACTGGGAGCCAATGTAGGTCTTTCAAGACCGGTGTTATGTGGTCTCGGCAGCCGCCCCCTGTCACCAGTCTAGCTGCCACATTCTGGATTAGTTGTAGTTTCTGGGTCACCTTCAAAGGTAGCCCCACGTAGAGTGCATTGCAGTAGTCCAAGCGGGAGATAACTTTAAACCGCCATGGCTTCCCGCAAAGCATTTTGGGAGCCAGGGCTGTCTTAAGCATATGTGGCACCGGGGTGCAAAGATCCGCCTGGTGCCCCCCCCCCCGGTTGCCCAGTCCCAGGCGCACAGGAGGGCGGAACTGGCTGGCCGGCCGCCTCACTGTCTCGCTGGCTTGGTCACTCCCGAACTCGAGGCACAGAGCTGCCTGCATGAGAAGAGCCTGCCGCGGCGCTCCGACTGACGGGTGGGCTCTTCCCCGGACTCAACTCTCGGGCCCCGGACTCTCGGCCTGGCGCCCCTGAGAGCCCAGCGCCCGGGTGCTCTGCACCCCTAGCGCCTCTGGGTAAGACGTCCCTGCTGGGAGCTGCAGTTGTGTAAGGGAGCCACCAAGTTTACAGTTATCACACAGAGTGGTTATACAATCTGTCCCTGGGAACTCTGGGAATTGCAGCTCTGAATGGAAAAGGGGGTCTCTTCAGAATTAGATAAGATGACAGGAAGGATTTGAAACCTGTGGGACCAGAGATTCTGAGAGGACTGGAATAAATATGTGAACTATTTGAAAAGCAATTGTAATCAAGAGATTGTGCTAGTAGGAATACAGGAAGTTATGTACGGAGGAATATATGAAATATTGCAAGGAAGATTATGAAGAGAGTTATTAGTTAAGAAAATTAAAAGTAATAGAGAAGTTAAGAAATGTAAATTAAGTGGAAAAGATTGGAAAATTTTCAGATGTGATTGACGGAAGTCAAAAAATTGTATAAGATATGAAATTGAGTTAAATGATTGCTGACTATATCTATATATATATAGATATATAGATATATATATATCTGGAAAAGGGGGTCTCATAACACCCCTCAGCACCTTTAGCAGACTGCACTTTCCAAAGTTCTCTGGAGTAGCCATGAGGGTTTAAAGTGGTATAACAGTGCTTTAAATGTGGTTGTGGCCTACAACTCCCACCATCCCTATTGGCCATGCTGCCTCAGGGCTGATGGGAGTTGAGAAGTCCAGCAACATCACTCAGCAGGTTAAAGCGTGGTGCTGACAACCCCAAGGTTGCAGGTTCAATCCCCGTTAAGGGACAGCTGCTTATTCTTGCAGGTCAAGGGGACTGGTACTAGATGAGCCCCAGGGTCCCCTTCCGACTCGATATTATTCTGTGAGAATAACAGGGTCACAAGTTTCTAGCTGCATGAACACCTAGGGAGGCTGCAGGTCACCCACCCTTGCTTTTACAATAAAGGAGTGAATTGTGGGGTGGGGAGAGAGGCGAGTCTTCTTCCTTAACCTCTGATGTGTGGCATATTTCCTCTCTCTCAACCAGGTACGCTCCTTGCGGATGAAGATCCTTCCTTCGATGGTGCAGGAAGGGATGAGCCGGCCTAGCGGGAGGGCGCAGATGTACGTCACCCTAGCAGCCGCCGCCTTCCAGCCTCTGATCCTCTATTGGCTGACTGCACAGCTGGTTCATTAGGCGACGTGGAGGAGAGGACCCGTCCGTAGCGGCCCCAACGTTTGCCTGGCAGGGGGGCTGGCTTTGCAAGGACCCCTCTCTCTTCCTGCCCTCTTATTTCTCCCACCCACCACCCCCAAATTCCCTGAAGTACACACTCCACTTCTTCCTGGCCGTCCAAATCCCGGGCCTCGCAAAGGAGGACGGGGGCTCCGCTGACGCAAGGAATGATGCCGAATAAGGGAGGTGCCACGGCCTCTCGAGGGGCTCCCTGCCCCCCACAAAATCATGAGAGCGGAGGGGAAGTGAGGACTGCCAAAACTATCCAGGCTTGACACTGCCTGCCCGTCCACCCCCACTCGGCTTGACTCCCAAATCTGTGGCCTGTTCCATTTCCACTGGTCGTTGCAAACGTCTCCTTGCTTGGGGTGTTCATGGGGGCAGACTCAGATAGGGTGGGGCAGGGTTGTTCCAGACACTTCCCCCCAACCCCTTCGTGCTCCTGGGAGCACTTTTGCTATGCAAAGAATTTTTAAGAACATGACTTCTGGTGTATTATTATTATTATTATTATTATTGCCTTCTGGAGCAAAGCACCCTTTCCCCTTATTCTGAAAATCAGCTGGTTTACTTTAAATGACTTCTCCTCCTTGCCCCCCACCTGGTGGTCTTTTGACCACCAGCTGAGTATTGACAGTGCACCCCCCCAAAAAAACCCCCCACCCTCTGCTATTGTGTTGTCAGAGAGCAGAGGCCCTCACCTCTCAAGGACTGTGTACTACTGGTCGTAACACTTCAGATGCTGTATTGTTGAGGTACTTTCAAACTATTCCCCATTTGTTTTCTTTTTATATATATATATATATATATATTAACCTTTGCTGGGGTTTTTTAAAAATGTCTTTACTGCCACAGATACAAGCCAGCAAAGAGGTGGGTTTGGGTTGACAGGGAGGTGTGGGGGAAAACCTTAACGAAATCTGCAAAGCCGCTAAGTTGTGTCTTGTAGCCAACTTTCAGAGGGAAAGACATTTCAACTTTCCCCCCCATCTGTTTATGGGAGAGTTCGTTCTTGGAAGCGACGATAAAAATGTGCTTGACAACTTGTGCGTGTGTTCACATTTCATCCGGCTGGGGGGTGGCTGCCAACTTTCTCCCTCCCCCAGCAAAGCGCCTGTGCTTCTTTATTTTAAGAATGGTGTGTGACTAAATGAGCTTTGCTTGATCTAGTACCGCCGCGAAAAGCAACCCCTCATGGTTTTCTCTTTGGGCACATCCACACCATAAAGTGGCATAATAACAGTTTAAACTGTCATGGCATCCCCCAGAGAATTCTGGGAACTCTCATTTGTTAAGGGTGCTGTAGGAGACTCCCTTTTTTGCTTCACAGAGCTACAATTTCCAGAGTCCCCTGGGAGGAGGGATATATTGTGTAGCCATTCTGGGAACTGTAGCCATGTGAGGAATAGGGGAGTGTTAATAATAATAATAATAATAATAATAATAATAATAATAATAATAATAAATTTTATTATTTATACCCCACCCATCTCACTGGGTTGCCCCAGCCTACTCTGGGTGGCCCTCAACAAAATACTAAAAACAATCATAAAAAACTTCCCCGAAGAGTGCTGAGTATTGTTCACAGACTACCTAGTACCTCACAGGGCCACAATTCCTAGAGTGATTTAATGGCCAGGGTTACTCTGAAAATTGTAGCTCTGTGAACGGTGAATAGGCAAGTCTCAGCACCCTTAACAAACTACATTTCCCAGGATTCTTTGGGTGACGTCATGGCTGTTTTAAGTGGTACCCTAGTGCTTTTAAATGTGTGGAGCGAATGTGGGCCTTCACTTCCCTGCTATCCTCTTAGCTTAGAATAGTTACTCACCTCTGACGCCAGGCGGCAGCAGACGCATCACGGACCAGCTGCAGAGAGACTGGTTTGGTACTTGGCTGTGTGTGGGATGTCTGTGTGCGTGCCTGTTTGTGTTTCAGTGGCTTGTCTGAAGGAGCGTTTATTGGAGTGAAGAAGAAAAAAAACATTTTGTTCACTGTTTGCAATTACGGGGGAACTTCTCAGAGGACCAGTTTTTTGTTCCCAGGAGGGAGTTGAAGGAGACGTTCTCTGGCAGCTGCTGAGCACTGCCTATTCTCCCTTTGGCTGTCAATTCACACAGGTGAGATTCAGAAAGGTGAGAGGCCAAAGCCCTCTGCTGCAGGGGGCTCATGGTAGGACGCAGCTTTTAAGGAGATTTTCGGTGTTCACTCTTCTTATTTCTTTTCTTGCATTGTCAGCAGGTATAATAACGGCATAATGAGCACCAAGCCCCACAGAACTCTCCAGGACATAATTTGTGTGTCGAGTGTATTCACTCCACAGCAGAAGTGGGGAACCTCAGGCCCTCCAAAGTCATTCTCTCATATATATATATATTTCTATATCTTGCTATGTAACAAAATTTCTATATCACTCAACTGTAATAAAAAACCTTATAGTGGTTTACAAAAAAAAGTTAAAACATCAAAATTATCCTTTGGAAAGAAGCTTGGCACATATTTGGAGACATTTAAAAGCTAAAGTCAATGCAAAAAAACAATGCACACAAAAAAATGCTTGTCTGTGTTCTTCTACGTGCCTGGATATGTATACCTGCAAGAGCCTGTCTTTTCTTCAAAGATGCCTTAGATTCTGTGTGCCCGTACGCAGCCCTTCGGAGGCTGCATAACTTGCAATGCGAAACTGCGGTGTAAGGATTTAATCTGCGCAAAGCCTCTTTTCCATACACTCCCTTCCATTCCGAACTCCCAGGCCCAGGGCTTCACCCTTTGCATCTCAAATGCCAGGTGCTCTGAGGCAGAAATTCAAAACCTCTTTAATTTTTGATTTCGCGCAGTGGCTGTTTCTTCGGTCCACGAGCGCAGGAAGCAACGGGGAGGGTGGGCACTGCTTGTGTGGGCAGAGGCGGCGCGTTTGTGGCATTGCTAATGAAGTCGGGAGAGAAGGCAGGGGTGCAACAGGCGTACAGACAGCCCTGCTGGAACGGTGGAAGGAGTTTGGTATGTTTAGCCTGGGGAAGAGAAAGCTGGGAGGTGACACGATAGCCATATTCAAATATCTAAAGGGCTGTCGCATTGGAAGATGGAGGAAGAGTGTTTCCTGCTGCTCCCTAGAGGGCAGGACCGGAACCAATGGATCCAAATCACAAGAGAGTATCGGCAACACTCTCCTCCTGTGGTTTCCAGCAACTGGTATTTATAGTTGTCATTACTGATTGCATTTGTATCTTACCATATTTTCCCCTTATGGTTCTCTCTGCCATAAATACCTGTGAAGTAGGTTAGGCTGAGACACAGTGGCTGGCCCAAGGTCACCCCAGTGTGAGCTGCATTCGTGGCCGAGTGGGGGATTCGAACCCTGGTCTCTCCTAGTCCCAACACCAGGCATAGGCAAACTCGGCCCTCCAGATGTTTTGGGACTACAACTCCCATCATCCCTAGCTAACAGGACCAGTGGTCAGGGATGATGGGAATTGTAGTCTCAAAACATCTCGAGGGCCGAGTTTGCCCATACCTGCTCTAACCATTATACAGGCATACACTGGCTCCAGCCATGTTGTTGTTGTTGTTGTTGTTTAGTCATTTAGTCATGTCTGACTCTTCGTGACCCCATGGACCAGAGCATGCCAGGCACTTCTGTCTTCCACTGCCTCCCGCAGTTTGGTCAAACTCATGCTGGTAGCTTCGAGAACACTGTCCAACCATCTCGTCCTCTGTCGTCCCCTTCTCCTTGTGCCCTCCATCTTTCCCAACATCAGGGTCTTTTCCAGGGAGTCTTCTCTTCTCATGAGGTAGCCAAAGTATTGGAGCCTCAGCTTCACGATCTGTCCTTCCAGTGAGCACTCAGGGCTGATTTCCTTCAGAATGGATACATTTGATCTTCTTGCAGTCCATGGGACTCTCAAGAGTCTCCTCCAGACCATAATTCAAAAGCATCAATTCTTCGGCGATCAGCCTTCTTTATGGTCCAGCTCTCACTTCCATACATTACTACTGGGAAAACCATAGCTTTTACTATACGGACCTTTGCTGGCAAGGTGATGTCTCTAGTTTTTAAGATGCTGTCTAGGTTTGTCATTGCTTTTCTCCTAAGAAGCAGGCGTCTTTTAATTTTGTGGCTGCTGTCACCATCTGAAGTGATCCTGGAGCCCAAGAAAGTAAAATCTCTCACTGCCTCCATTTCTTCCCCTTCTATTTGCCAGGAGGTGATGGGACCAGTGGGGCTCCAGCCATGGATTGGTCTAATCTTTTAAAGCCAACCAGTTTGGTGGCCATTGACTGCCCCCCCCCACTGCTCCCCAGTTCAGAACATCACCCCCTTCTCACAAAGGCACATCTGTCCCCAACGTATGCAGGGGACGCAGAACGGTTAGCACGGCATTTAAAATGAATCATGAAACCAAATCATGGAGCACAATTACACTTTTGGCTTGAGGCAGAAGAAGGGGAAAAAATCCTAAGCAACAAGAAGAGAAAGGAAGACTGAAAAGAACTGGCTATGTTTAGCCTCGCAAGCAGAAGGTTAAGGGGGAGAGGGAGGGGAAGTGTGGAAGGATGGAGAGATGGGTCTGCTGACAGCCTTCAAACGGCTTCAGATTACATTTTTTTTGCAGCCTGCAAGTGGAGATCTGCACACATTCGTGGATGTGGGGGCGGCTGTTTGTGTGTGTAATAGCGTCTCTATGTGTCCTGTCTTCCCTCCCTCTCGCAGACACCCCATTCACAGTACTTCTTATAAACTGTGCCTATACAAAACACACATAGGCATTTCACCCCTCTCCCCCAGAATATTCTCAGACGCAGTCTAACAGCTGACCCCACTCTGTGCTGGGTTTTGCAGGGAACAGGCAGAGAGCAGCCTAGGATTCTTCCGATAAGAGGCTATGCTCAGGGGACAGATCCTGCACCTTTACAAGCTTAGATCCTCGGGAGCCGTTGGTCATTTGCCCTCTTGTCACAGAATGCAGGTCACAAAAACCATATGTGTGTTTTTTTATTTAGGGAACAGTCTCTCAGTCAGTGAGCACGGGTTTGCTGTTTAAAAACAGGCTGAGGGCCACTCACCTCCCAACACAATAACTGCTGCTGCAAAACGACAGCGCAGCTCGCCATTAATTCTCCAATTGTTGCTGAATGCCAGGACCGTGGAACTAACAAAAAACCAATTCCTTTCCCCCTCTGTTCCGCATCCAGAGAGAGAGGCTGTTGCACACAAAAGGGCCCAGCTGCAGTCCTTCATTGTAGCTGCTAGTCACAGGAGACCAGGTGCACGTTTGGGTTGTATGTGTGGAACAGCGGGACTTATTCCGCCCTGGGGCAAAGCATCTGGGTTCTGTGAACATGGGAGAAGAGGGACTCACCTGGCTGGACGGAATCAATTTGTGCATTAGTTTCAAATCAAGCAAGAGGCCTCTGCACCGCTGCAGAAAAAGGAACGGCCAGGAGGCAGAGGATGTTTCCAGGTTGACTGGCTCCTCTGGGGAGGGAAATTCTGCCGGGACTGCCGCTTTTCGAGAAAGCGTTGCTATTTCAAGAGGAATCCAGCTGCGGATGGCTCAGGCTCCATGGGATACATCTGTGAATTGCTCAGGTGAGAACAGTAACAGCCTCTGATGCCCTATAGCAGGGATGGGGTAGGGAGCGTGTGGCCTTCCAAGTCTTGGTGTACTCCAGCTCCCATCATCTGACCATTGGCCACACTGGCTGGAGTTGATGGGAGTTGGAGTTCAACAACTTGGAGGACCAGATCCATAGCGAATGAGGCCACCTCAAACAGGTGCTGGGACATCCTAAAGGACAGGTGAGGAACCTTCGGCCCTCCAATTGTTGTTGGATCACAATTCCCACCAGCTGCAGCGAGTGTGGCCAATGGGAGATGATGGGAGTTGTAGTCCACCAACAGTTGGTGTGCTAAAGGATCCCTACCTCTGTCCCAAACAGCCTTAAATTCATCCAGCCTCTAACCAGGGTTGAATAGCAGAAGAAGGCGATTGCACTGAAGGTCCTGCCTGACGGTTTCCTTCTGGAGTTTCGGTCCACTATAGGAAGTGTGTTGCTGGATTAGAGAGGGAGGCCTTGTGGTCTGAGTCAGCAGGGCTCCGTCTTTCCCTCTTTGTTTTCTTCCAAATCGCTTCTCAAAACTCAATTTTTTTCCTATTAAGCCCTTTGCCTTCCCTCTGTAATCCTTTCTCCCAAACGAAACATAGCTTAAGCACATCTGAGCATTTAAGCGCACTGCTCGGTGGTAAGGCACGATGCTTTGCATGCAGAAGGGAGAGGCTGATGCACTCGGCTTCCACTTATGGGCTTCCCATTGGTTGGCCACTGTGAGAACAGGATGCGGCCCCCTTTGGCCTGGTCCAGCTTTTCCTTGTACAGGGAGGCACATTTGGTCTTGTGAGTTGGGACAAAACTGCAGAGCAGCAATGGGCAACCTCTGACCCTTCAGCTGTTGCTTGGCTACAACTCGCAGCAGCCGTGCTCCCTGGGGACTGAGGGTCGCAGTTTCCCCAGCCTGGATATAAAAGCTGGTTGCTGTGGAAAACTGATCCAGCGGGTGCTTTCACTACACACAAGCAGGCCTGGCTGGTCTTTTCCTGGTCAGTTGGCAAACCACTTTAGAGGAGGAAACAGTGTTTGAAATTAGCCAGGCACATTTTGCACTTGACCAACGGCCAGGATGGTGCCTGACATCTTCACCATCTGGAGGTGAAAGTCTGGGGATCCTTGAACTGCTTTCACACTAATACCCCGTCCTGTAGAATTCTATCAGTTATCTGCACAATTGAAATGAATTTCAGGAACCAAAATTCTTTTCCTGTGCAGCCTGAGCCAAGGGCAGTGAACAATGTGATAGTGAATTGTTGTCGTTTCACATACCCCACCCCACTGCCCTGCTCACAGTTGTGAAGAATATTCTTACATTGTGAATGGTTCATGTCACCATTAAGAAAAAGAGGTCGGAATAGGCTAATATATATTATTCCCTAGGTCAAGGAACTTTTCTTCTTTTAAATTATCAAAGTTCTTAACTGAGCTCAAGATTGTCATCTGAACTAGCCAGATGTTTAACTGAGAATGTGCCAGTCCATCATTTGAAAAATAAGACTTTGGCACCATCTTAAAAAGGTAAAGGGACCCCTGACCATTAGGTCCAGTCGTGGCCGACTCTGGGGTTGCGGCGCTCATCTCGCTTTATTGGCCGAGGGAGCCGGCGTACAGCTTCCGGGTCATGTGGCCAGCATGACTAAGCCTCTTCTGGCGAACCAGAGCAGCGCACGGAAACACCATTTACCTCCCCCCTGGAGCGGTACCTATTTATCCACTTGCACTTTGACGTGCTTTTGAACTGATAGGTTGGCAGGAGCAGGGACCGAGCAACGGGAGCTCACTCCATCGTGGGGATTCGAACCACCGACCTTCTGATCGGCAAGCCCTAGGCTCTGTGGTTTAACCCACAGCGCCACCCACGTCCCATCTTGCTTGCCCCCAAATGCCAACTAAACATTCCGCTTTGGCGACTGTAACCTTGGTTTAAGAATCCATTTGGCGCCTAGCTTATATTTATGAGTTTCTAACCCTGGGAGGGAAATGTGGTGTGCCTGAGCGCCCCCCCCCCAATATATCAGGATAATGGGACTATTCACCAGCCACAGTCAAATCGTTTCTTTTTTTATTTCCAACAGAATTTCTTTATACAACAGTCCCCTGGGGAGGGGGGGGTCATCAGTTTTAAAAAAGAGCGCAAGGAAGGGAAGGGGCTTAGGAATCAATAGTACCACGGTGAGGTGACCGTTCCCACCACCACCACCCCAAATCCTCTAGGACCAGACTTTCCAGATTTCATTTGCGGTCTGTCCCATTTGTTTCTGTTTTGACCACCCCTAAACTGGACGCATCATAAGCAGGCTGGATCCAGACAAAAACACTTCTCCCCTAATGAGCTAAGAGGACACCGTCAAGGCAAGAAAATCCAAATAGAAAGCAGGTTGTCATAGGGTTATATCACACACAAAAAATTTAACCAGGTCCCAAGAAACTTAATTAAGTGACAATTGCTCCGAAAACCCAACTTGAACTACAAATGTTAAGAAATGATAATACTCATCAACATGTTCTGGAACACATCCCCTGCTGGTTTCTGAAGGTCAAGCAAGTGTTTGATAAATAAATAAAAATCACAGGAGCAGGCCAGGTTGGGTTTTGTTTTTTAAAAAGATTATTTTTTTTATAAAAAACTGCTGAATTGGCAACCCCTAAGCCCAGGACTTCCATCCAAGTTTCCGTGCACTGTAAATAATGCCGGCAGGAGAAGCCTCTGAGAACGCACAGAGTGCCTTTCACAGCCTTCACTCTTTCACACACACACACACACACAGAGAGAGAGAGAGAGAGAGAGAGAGAGAGAAATTTATGTGGGATTTGATGGAGAGGGTATCCAGATCAGTAATCAAAACTCACACATAAATACATGGATTTGAAAGGCCGTTTCCACCCCTACCAACTTTCTTGGGTGTACAGATCTACTGGGGGGGGGCAGGGGAGGCTATTTCGGCAGTTCAGGAAATGACCTCTTGGGAGAGGGCTTGCTCTGTGACAGCTCCCTGAATGGCTGGGCCTCCCTCTGCACAGAGAGGTGTGTGTATATGGCATTGTCACTGCACAGCTTCTGCCGTATGCAGGAGAGGCACCTCTGTACCCCGACCTTTAGCAGTTAAAGGTATTTCGTTTTGTTGGATTTCTACTGTTCTGCTCTATTGGGAACAGTTTTGATTGTTAACTGCTTTATCTGCTTGTTTGTTTTTTGCAACTGTATTGCTGTAACCTGCCCCGGGACCTTATTGAGGGTGAAGGATGGGTAAGAAATTGAATCAATCCATCAAAATTACTCGCAAGGTGGCCTTGCCCCATATATGCCCACTTGACAGCTCCAAATGTGCCACATAATGCTCATTCCACATTTGTATGAAGTCGGTATTTAAGTGTGCCAGCTTTGGAATTCCCTGCCTATTAGCATCCAGGCACCCTTTTTGGTAGCTGCTAAAAACGTTTTTGTTTAGGCAAGCCTACCCAGATGTGTAGAAATGCTGACCTTTAATCTGGTTTTTATCTCATTGTAGATTTTCAATAATTTGTTTGAAAGTATTTTTATTTTTTTGCTAAGCATTTTATTGTTTTCTTCTTTCTCTAAACTGCTTTTGAGGTTTTTCTTTTCTTTTTTTACCATCAAGCGGTATATAATTTTTTAATGAAAAAAATAAATAAGATGGTGTATTGCAGTACGTCTGGGCTGGGCAACAAACTGGCCTGACAGACGATGTAACACCCAGCTTTGGTTCTGCTATTTTCACCTCTCGGTGATTACAAATATCATTACTTGTTTGAGGGAAAATATTTTCCATACGTGCGTGTGTGCGTGTGTGTGTGTGTGTACACACACCCACACCCCATATATATTTTGTGCATGAGCATCTTAGACTAAGAGGTAAGAGTAAGAATAATTACCATGTTCAGACCTCAATCCAGAAGAAATTATTTGTGTATAAATCTCAATCATTTCAGTAGTGCCTAAGGGTGACTATTTTTTGGGGGGGGGATTTTTAGGGTAGAAAAACAGCTTCAAGGACTAGGGTATTAAAAACCAGGAAAAAGCCTGGTTTAAATGATTATTCATTAAAAGTTTTAGATATTTTACAGAAAAATAATATCTGGATATCATTGATCTTGCACACATTTCACACTTTTTGGGGGGAGAAATGGTGTCGCAAAATCGCGCCAACCAAACCGGCTGCCACTTTCTCCAGATTAAAAAACTGGATGTGCCAGTTTTCCCCGGGACACTTGTGGGATATGTGAGTTTTGGCCCTATCAATAGGCAGGCCGCCCCCCTTTTTCACTTAAATAAGTGCTGAGGACTACTGGGCTGGTTTTTCCCTGCTGCTTACTGTTTATATTTTTCATTTAATTACACTTCTTTTAAACTGACTCCTATTAATCATCAGCATCATAACAATAACAATAATTTTATTATTTGTACCCAGCCACTTATCTGATTTTACTGCAGTGTCCCTTATGTGGATCGGTTAAGTTTTGGATGTGGATTTTACTGTCGGTAAGCCGTTTTTATTGCAAAGTGGTCTCTTAAGCACAATCAACAAAAACAAACATTCAAAAGGCTTGTTTTAAAAAAATGCCGAATTGATTTTCAATTCAAGACACAGTGAGGGCCTTTAGGAACAGAGGAAGCCGGACCATGGGTTCATCTTAGCTTAGTGTTGTCCACACTGACTGGCAGCAGCTGCCTCTGACAGAGGCCCTACCTGGAGCTGCCAGGACTCGAACCTGAGACCTTCTGCATGCAAAGCAGATGCTCTCCCACTGAGTTATGGTCCTTCCTGGCTCACGTGGGCTTTCTCTTCAGATGGCTTTTAGAAAAGGACGAGGCACATTCTTGAAGGGGGTGGGGGTATAAGTCTAACAACAGCTGTCAGCTAGGATAGGTACTGGAGCCTCCATGTTCAGGAGCAGTTAGCATAAGCTGAGGGCAAGCAACATGAGAAGGCCCTTTCCTTTCCAGCCCTGCTTCCCATAAAGCATCTGGCTAGCCACTGTTTGGGACGCTGGATTAAGAAGAACATGGGGTCTGGCCCAGCAGGTCTATTTTTTTCTTATATAGGTTCTTATTTTGGATTTATCAACACCTGCCTTTAGGGGCAAGTGGCGGCAGAACCTTCTGGATGCAAGGCAGATGTTATGCCACTGAGTTCATACCCTCCAGCACCATGAAGTCAAAATCCAGGATGCCACCGCTTTTTTTTAATCACGAGAACATGGCAGCCATTGGGGTTGCTGTGATCTTGCACATATTTCGCACTGTGGTTCCACACTTTTTCAGGGGAGAAACTGTGTCGCAAAATCACGCCAACCAAAATGGCCGCCACTTTCTCGGCTTTTCCCAGGACACTTGTGGGATATGTGAGTTTTGGCCCTATCCCCTAAAATAAAGGAAGATTCCAGTCCTCGTGGAAAGGCCTGGTTTTAAAAAAGACGCTGCCTTAGACTGAATCAGACCACCATCCATCTAGCTCAGTATTGTCAACACTGGCTTGCAGAAGCTCAAGCGTTTCAGGCAGGGAGTGATTTCTGGCCCTACCAAAAAATAAAAATAAAACCAGGGTCCGTCTCCCATGAAAGGGAGGCCTCTCACTCCCCTCCCAGAAAAGCCAGGAGTTGTACCAAAAAGGAAAAGCGCCAGCGGGGAAGATAGGCCCGCGAGTTGCCATGACAACAGAGTGCCTCCACGACTTCCAGTCACAGCATCCCTTCCCCATCTGACAACATTCAGCAATTCAATTCAGAAGGAAATAAAGGAGAAGAAAAGGGAAACTGCGCTTGCTGAATAACCGCTTCCCATAGCAGACTGATTGCTCTTGTTGGAGCAAGAGGAGGGGAAACAAAAGCAGAAGAATTGGGGAGGGGGGCTTCCCACTCCGAACCCCCTCCCCGAATCTCCTCTGCTAGCAAGGGTGACAAAATGGCCGCCCAACTTTGCCACCGCGGTTTTGCTGAGGCTTTCCCTCGCCTCTCCAGACCTCCACTGTGGAGAAGTTGTTACCTTCACCAAACCTACCCAAAAAAATAAGGCGGGGGGACGCGACATTCAACTATATCTCGAGGAACACCTCCCCAGGAGCTGGGGCCGTGGAAAGAAATTGGGGAGTGGGGTGAACCACACACACACCTTCTCCCCAGATTTATTTTTTTTAATATATAAATATCCCAAAGCAGTAGAAGAACACACACATACACACAAAAGGTTCCCTGTCCAGCGAGAGCTGGAGATAAATGCAGCTGGAGAGAGACCCTACTTCTGCTTTACACATAGTGCCCTGCACCCCAATACGGTCTGGACCCCTCAACCGAAAACTCCATTCCGGCTGCAGCCCTCCCTCAATGAGCTCCTTGCAACGGGGAGGTCCATCGGCGGAGAGGCCGGCTCCAGCTTCCTTTTCCAAAATATAGAGCCGGCGGTTGTTATTTCTGGGGCTGGGGGGTTTGGTGGTGGTGGTGGTGGTACGGCAGGCCCCCCTATCCGGTATGAGGCAGCAGAGTATCATTGTCCAAGGCAGCCAGGAAAAGGACAGTCTTGCAGCGTGAATTGGCTTCGGACATGGGAGTGGGGTGGGGGGCCCTCGGGCCTGGCATGGGTCCGTCCCACCCCGCCACACAGTCTTGGCACGTTAACTTCGTAGTCCAGGTGAGGTGGGCGTCCCCCACCCTGCAAAGGGTGTCTGTTAGAAACTCACCAGCGTATAAACCATACTGGAAAGCAGGAACGTGGAGCGAGAAAGGAAGGAGAGAAGAAGCCGTCACCAAAGTCAGGACGAAGACAGCAAAGATCACAGGTCCCCCCCCCACTCAACCTCATAATAATAGTAGCTAAGAAACAAACTACGCATTTGGGATTAATAAGGAGCAAAAATTACCAAGCGTTAATATCGAGATGTGGAAAATATGGATACAAGAAGGAGAAGCAGGACTAAGATATGCTCCAGAGATCCAGACCGTGGGGAGCCCCAAGAAATTAATAAATACCATTTGGACTATAAATTGATCTTTTTTATTTTAGTTTTTTTATTTTTTAATTGAAGTATTATGATTGGATATTTAATTGGATGTTTTTTATTGGAAAATCAATAAAAATGATTTTTTTAAAAAAAAGGATTTATAAGGAGCATGGAGCTACCTCGACCCTTTCCCATTTAGTAACAACATTTGGAGGGTAACAGGTTCCAGACCTCTGGTGCGTTATTTTATTGATTCATCTGTAAACTGCTTTTGAGACCATTTATGGTGAAAAGTGGTCCATAAATACTAGAAATGAATTTTTAAAAACTGTATTTCTTCTACACTGGGCTACTTCTTATACATAGCTGAACCAGTAACAATGACAATGCTTACTGTGACATAAAAATAATATGAGATTTCTGCCTAAACATTATTTTTAGTAGCCGTGTTGTCCTCTTCAGGTAGCTGCGGAGCTTGGAAGCAGTTTATTTCATCCCCAGTGGGGAAATTAGGCTTTTCTGAACTGTAAGTTAAAAGCTGGGGTGGAGCTTGTGGAAAAGGCTTTTGAAGCAGCGATTATCTGATGTATCCCTTCAAATGGACAGAGCAGCAACATCCATTTCTAAAATAGCAGCATTGTATAAGAACTCCTTTGGTGCTACCTTCTCATTTTAAGGATTTGCACAGAAATGGAGAGACAGGATTGCCTTTACTAAAGCCCAGTTAAATCTGCAGCCCCGTGGATCTCAAAGATTGTGCCCTAAAGATCCTCTATACAGCAGATTGTTATTGTGCATAGTGAGTCTGCAGCAACACCCCCCCCCGCCAACTTCTCTCTAAAATCAGAGCTGACCACACGAAGCTCACCTGTACAGGTAATAGAAGAATGACACCAGGTAAAAGGCCAGTTTGCACCACGATTCTTTCTGACAGTAGTTTAAGATATCGGCATTCATGATGGAGACGGCGTCATACATCACTTCTGAGCCATCTGCTGGGCGGTGGAAGTACCTGGAGGGCAGGTGGGGAGGAAAGAGGTGAATTAAAATGTCCAATCTCTCCCCTAAATTTCCATCTCGTGGAGGTGGTGGTTGTCTTAAAGCTGATCTGCTACATTTGAGCCAATTCATTGCTTAGATTCATTTACTGAAAACCTCTTGATAAGACATATGCAAAAAAGGTGTTCCCTGATTAGTTTAGCAAGGCATTATTTATTATTACAATTAACCCTGCCTGTCACCTTGCGGGATTCTCAACTGTTGGCCATGGTGGCTGGAGCTAATGGAAGTTGGGGCCCCAAAGAGATAATTGTGAGCTAGAGGGAATAATAGTCTGGGTATACGGCAGCTTCCTGTTTTCTCAGATCCAGAAACATGGAGCAGGTATGGTCTAATGATACAATTTAAATATTTCATTTCTGCTGGCAAAGGGCAATTTTCCTTCCCCTCCTGCTTCCTGCATCCCCCCCCCTCCTGCACAAGTTTCTATAAGCATCAATTTCCTGGGCTGCAACTTCAAACCTACAGAGATGTACAGAAATAGACTATAATCTAACTATCCTTACAGGTTTGTCCCAGTGCAGGGAATGAGATGATCCCCTAAAGCTATTTATTTATGTTTTGCAAACAGGTCAAGTTTCACAGCTAACACAATTTAAAAACCTGTGTCAGGTTTTATGGTATATGTGTGTGTGTATTTTTGTTTTTAATTTCATCCAAACTTCAGTTCAGCACCCAACACAATAAGTCCTGGAATCCAGGTGCTATATTTCAAAAAATGAATAAGCCAACTTTCCTTTCTTTTAACGTAAGTTATATATCGGCTACAGTTTCCATTTGTAATTAATTGCAATTCATCTTGTGTTGTCTGAAACTGCCAAAACCGTGGCTGTGGTTTGCTTGAAATAAGCCAGATTCAAATTATGATCTCTGAAGCTGGCTTGTTTCAAACAAGTCTAAGTTAAAAAAATAACCACAGTTTACGGTTTGGATGTACAGTAACACTAAACTGTGGTTAATTGAAAACAGAAGTGAAAGATTTCAGTGTCTTCCTGGCGGCTGTAGAAATTGATTCTGGTGTTAAACTACTTCCCAGTGCTGTAAACCAGGGACGACGAACCTCCAGATATTGTTGGCCTCCAATTCCCGCCTCCCCCAGCCAGGATGTCCAACGGTGAGGGCTGGAGGGAGTTGCAGTTCGACAACATGTGGAAGGCTACAATCTCCCTGTCGTGAACTGCAGCATGGAAGCACTGGGGTGTGTTTAGGCCGTGTTGGTGTTCAGCCTCACCTCCACAAGTGGTAGAAAAGCAGCGGGATATTAAGTCCCAAAGTCACCCATTCAGCTGCACAGAGAAACATCAGGCAGAAAAGGCCATGGATGGAATATTCGGGAACGACGAGCTGCAAGAGAAACCCTCTGGTCAAAAAGGGAAGCTATTTTGGGCACATATTGCACTCAGTGCGACACACAGCAGATAAAAGAACCTATTAAAAACAGCCTCCCCCAAAACCTTGTGTCCCACAAATGTTGTTCGGACTACAACTCCCATCTTCCCGAGCCTGTGGCTCATCAACTGACACCCTTGGGTGCCAGAGTTAAAGGTGCTCTGGTGGATCATCCCAGAGTGTGGCGGGGGTAGAAATTTGACTCCGTTCGCATTTAAAGTTGAATTACAGTAATTAATACTTCCCAATATTTTGTGGCCCAAAACACAGCCTTAGAAATTTGCACCTCTCTAAGGTTTGCCATGAAGTTCTCTTAACAATGTGTAGAAAAATGCCAACAGTGGTTCCCAAATTGGGCAGTGGCGCCCTCTGGCAGGCGGTGGGATTATTTGGGGGAGGGTGCTTAGAGGCAAGTGGGTGGCAGAGGGGCACTGGAGGTGTGAATGGCTCCCAGACTTTGACAAGCTGGTTATCACTGAATCCAGCCCATCCATTTTGTTGAATTAATTAAACTAAAGAGTTTTAATCACATTTTGAATAGCTGTGCAATTAATTGTTATTGTTTTGGATTTTATTGTGTTATTATCTTCCTTAGTGGGTTGTGTAAACTGCTAGTCTGAATAATGCTTTTTATAGGGTAAGGTAAGGGGTGCCGAAAGGGACTCGGGTGGCGCTGTGGGTTAAACCACAGAGCCTAGGGCTTGCTGATCAGAAGGTTCGAATCCCCACAACGGAGTGAGCTCCCGTTGCTCGGTCCCTGCTCCTGCCAGCCTAGCAGTTCGAAAGCACGTCAAAGTGCAAGTAGATAAATAGGTACCACTCCGGCGGGAAGGTAAACGGGGTTTCCGTGCGCTGCTCTGGTTCGCCAGAAGCGGCTGTCATGCTGGCCACATGACCCGGAAGCTGTACGCCGGCTCCCTCGGTCAATAAAGCAAGATAAGCGCCGCAACCCCAGAGTCGGCCACGACTGGACCTAATGGTCAGGGCTCCCTTTACCTTTACCTTAAGGGGTGCCGAGGATGAGGTGTGTGTGTGTGTGTGTACATGAAAATAACATACAAAATGCATTATATTTGGGAAAATACAAACATTATGGAAAACATGCTTTGCAAAAACATGTATAGTAGGCAAAAGTGCAAAAAACATGTGCATATAAATGCATATATTAATGAAACTAACGTAGAAAAATGGGCTGTTTTAGGGAGAACTGCTTGCAAGAGCATAGATATATTGAGCAAAATGGGACAGAAAAATGTGTGTATTAGAAGAAAATTTGCACTAAACTGCTGATGAATTTTCATGAAATTTGGGGGAGGGGGCGGGAATCACAAACTGATGTGGAGGACTGACCTTAACATCAGAAAGATGAGAAACCAAGAGGAACTGGAATTGACAGGTTTGCCCATCAGGGAGATGAGAGTGTCATACGGTTCTCAAAGGGAAAAGGTTAAATGAGGGTGAAAGATACCAGCAGACAAAGAGGCAAAAAGGCACTCACCTTTCTCAAGAGGCAACAGATGCGTTCGATGTTTTTCAACCTCTCTCTCTAAGTACAGAAATAAAAAAATGAAATTAACACTAGTCAAACTGCTAGGGGAACAACTGGGTAAGATGGAGGGAGGAGGGGGAGGATAGGGGGAGAGTCGATGGATCCTCAGGGATGTAACCAGAGAACATTAAATATCTCTGTAAGGATTTGTATAGGGGGAGGTTGGGGGGGAGTTGAACAGCAACAGAATGTTGCAGCGCAAAGTCCTCCTATTGTGGATGCCAGCTAACCAGGCAGATCGGTCCTTTTCCTGGATACTCCATTCCCATCCCCCAACAGTCAGCATTCCACACCCAGTGAGCCTGCTGATGAGTCCTTATTGGGCAGTGGGCCATTTCCTGTTCCCCATTCCTTTGGTCTTCCCACCCCCCTAAATGTTTTTCTGCCTCATCTAAGACTGCCCTGCAAAAGCCTTCTGATGTGGGGAGTGGCCGTGGTTCAGCAGCAGAGAATCTGCTTTGCCTGCAGAAGGCCCCGGGTTCAACCCATGGAACTCTCCAAGTCAGGCGGCTGCCAGTCAGTGTCAACAAAACTGAGTTAGATGGACCAGTGGTCTGACTCAGTATAACGCAGCTTCCTGGGCTCCTTTTTAAATCAGCCCACCTAGAACCATGAGAAGGGGAATCTTCCTTTATTTTTAGGGGGTGGGCCATAACTCAGCACCACAGCTTCTGCCTCACATGCAGAAGGTCGCAGGTTCAATCCCTGGCATCTCCAGGAGTACTTTTAATATGAGAATTTTAGGTTGGTTTTTATTTATTCTTAATCTTTGTTTTCCACAAGTTGCTTACAGTTCATGGGGGGGGGGGAGGGTAAAAAGCGACACACACACACACACACACACACACACACACACACATTTGGTCTTACTCAGAGTAGACTCCTTTCACTAGGTCTACTGAGAGTAGGGGATATATATACAGTGGTAACTCAGGTTACAGACGCTTCAGGTTACAGACGCTTCAGGTTACAGACTCCGCTAACCCAGAAATAGTACCTTGGGTTAAGAACTTTGCTTCAGGATGAGAACAGAAATCGTGCAGCGGTGGCACAGCAGCAGCGGGAGGCTCCATTAGCTAAAGTGGTACCTCAGGTTAAGAACAGTTTCAGGTTAAGAACGGACCTCCAGAACGAATTAAGTTCTTAACCCGAGGTACCACTGTATACACACACATACACACAAACACACATTTATATCCCACCTTTTTTCTCCAAGGATCTCAAAGAGGGTTACGTGGGTCTCTTCCTCCTCATTTAATCCCCACAACGGCCCTATAAGGTAGGCGGTAGCCTCCGGGCTCCTCGCCTGCTCGAGGGATGGCATTGCAGGCAAGCTGCCGGCCGTCGCCATCGCCGCCCCCTCATGTGAGTGGACCTGCCCGGAGTGGTGGGCCGGGGGAGGCTCGCTCTCTGTGGGGATGTGGCCCGCACGCGCGGCCCCGCTTCCTCCTGCCCAGGGCTGAGCTCCTTACCCGCGATCTCGGTCTCGCGCACGCGGATCCCACTTATTCTGAAGCTCGCGCCACTAGCCGGGGCTCTCACACCGTGCCAGGGCGAGGCGGCGCGGCCCACTGACGTCATCGCGGCTCGCCGCCGCCCTCAACTTCCCTGTTCCCTCCCCTCCCTCGGGTCGCCGTGGTTACCGAGGACTGCAAGCTGCTCGGGCGAGCGTGGGGCATTAAGTGGGAGAAGGAAAATTAAAATTAAAACTCGCCTGAAGGCCGCCTCTCCGGATATCTTTCAAATTTTTTAATTTTTCCCGCGGCACACCAGGCAACGTCTCGCACTAGGCTGCCAAGGTGACCCCATGAGCTTCATGGCCACGTGGGAATCTGAACCCTGCTCTCCCAGGTCCTAGTCTGACACTCTGACCACAGAGATTATATTTTTCTGCTGCCTTCACTCCCAAAGGAATTTAGAACAACATACAACTATCCTTTTCACTTTCTAAATGCAGTGGTACCTCAGGTTACAAACGCTTCAGGTTACAGACTCCGCTAACCCAGAAATATTACCTCAGGTTAATAATAATAATAATAATAATAATAATAATAATAATATCTTTATTGTCATTGCCCCCTCTCGGGGACAACGAAATTACTTTTTTTTTTTTTAATAATAATATCTTTATTGCTTGTTAAGAACTTTGAGTCAGGATGAGAACAGAAATTGAACAGCAGCGGCGTCGTGGCAGCAGGAGGCCCCATTAGCTAAAGTGGTACCTCAGGTTAAGAACAGTTTCAGGTTAAGAACGGACCTCCGGAACGAATTAAGTTCTTAACCCGAGGTATCACTGTACAAGAAGCCTTAAAGCAACTAGAGAGAGAAAGAGAGAGAGAGAGAGAGAGGCTGACCAACATGCACAAAATATTTTTTTCAAACCAAAGCAGGCATTTTTAAAATAAAAGAAGAAGAAGAAGAGAGTCAGATCCAGCTATTTATTCCTCGCCATTGCCGGAGCGAAAGATGCAAAGTTCTCCATGCTACATAGGAATCTGACAAGGCTGCTGACCCTCAGAGGCCGAATCCTGGCACCAGCACCGCAATCTGAACCGGAAGTGTGAACAGGCAGCCCATTGGGTTGCTCTTCTCAAAACGCAACACACCGTGTAATCCTCTGGGTGCGTGGGGAATAAATCTGTCAGCGAACGGGGATAATGAACCGTTCAAAAATCGCATTTATCCAGCGCTCTGTCCTTATCTGGTTTGCAGCCCCTTAATCCCAAAATTGTATTTTTTAACTAATTGGTGGTAATTATTTTGTAAGCCCTGGCGGCAGCCCTTCAAATCCTGACCCGCATCGTTTGGGAGGTCAAGAGCAGTGGCTCCACGCAGAGACACCCTTCGGCGCTGACCCATGAACCCTGCCTGAACCCCCTTTTCCGATCTAGCCAGCCAGTTCTGTTCCTGCCGTCTCGCGCTTTGAAAGGGGCTCCGCCGAGACTGATAGTCGGGCCTTGCAGAGGCCTTTTCAAAAAGCCCTCTTGCACAGGGTTTTGCAGGTGCCACCAATCAGCTCATTGCCAGTATAGTGGTACCTCGCAAGACGAATGCCTCGCAAGACGGAAAACTCGCAAGACGAAAGGGTTTTTGGTTTTTTGAGTTGCTTCGCAAGACGATTTTCCCTATGGGCTTGCTTCGCAAGACGGAAACGTCTTGCGAGTTTGTTTCCTTTTTCTTAAAACCGTTAATACAGTTGCGACTTGGCTTCGAGGAGCAACTCGTAGCAGGTGGTGTGGTAGCCTTTTTTGAGGTTTTTGAAGACTTTGGTGATTTTTGAAGCTTTTCCAAAACTTTTCCGAAACCGTGCTTCGCAAGACGAAAAAATCGCAAGGCGAAAAAACTCGCGGAACGAATTAATTTCGACTTGCGAGGCACCACTGTACCAGCAAACCCTTTCTAGGCTGAGCCATTGTTTTACCTGCCCCACAGCTGATTGTGGGGTGCTTTGGTGAGCCAAACTCTCAAACAGCGTACCTTCCAAATGTCAGGTAATTCACATGTGACGGTCGTGGGCCCCATCCCAAAAATATTGGCTGGGTGTCCCACTTGCATGTGGTTCTGCCGAGCCCCGACAGTCAATTGAGGCACAAAAACTGAACCCGGTGTCATTGTGATGTCAGGAATGATTGGCAGTTGGCCGTCCCCACCCACCTGTCCAAATTAGCTCATGAGGCCATTTTGTCCACTTGCCAAAATCCCAATTTCCCTCCCCTTAGGCCACATGGTGAATCCCAAGAGAGATATGGGACAGGGGACGGGAGATTAACCTTGGCCTGCGCTGTGAGTTCCTCTTCTGGTGCCTGTGACACGTGGAGAGAAATTGAGGTCAAACAAAACTATTTATACTTGCAGGAGGGGAGGGGAGGGGACAACCCAGAAGACGTGCCACCTTCCTGGCACTGCGCCAGCTCTCTCTCTCTTTCTCTCGTGTTTGAAAGTTATCAGGGACAGCCCAGGAGCTAACCTAATATTTCCTTCCCTTGTTCGAATAATTCCACTTTTGTTACCAAGCTGTCCTTGATCTTGCACCTCCATTTCATAGAATTGTACAGTTGGAAGGGACCACGAGGATCATCCAGTCCAACCCTCTGCTATGCAGGAATCTTTTGCCCAAGGTGGGACTCGAACCCACAACCCTAAGGTGAAGAGTCTCACGGTCTACCGACTTGAACTATGCTATGAAGTGGATAGCTCAGAGGATAGTGGACTTCACTCATATAATGCCATCTCCCGGCCTTACTAGGAACCACTGTCGGTGCCAATTAAACGTGGGCCAAAAATGACCTGCAGAACCTTTGCGCCAGGGAGGGGGAGGGGGGGCTGTGGCCTTCCAGATGCTGTTGGACTACGGCTCCCATCATTCCAGGCCACTGGACAAAGCTGGCCGGGGCCATGGGCATAGCCCGGAATTTTGTTGGGGGGCAGAACCGACATGATTGGTCAGTTAGTTAAGTATTTCTATTGTTTTACTTGATGAGGGGCAGCTACCCCCACTGGCGGAGGAAGAGGGGTGATCCCTGCCCCCAGAAAGCACACCCCCCGCCCCCTGGATGCGTGCCAGCCCTTGCCCCCGCCTGCTCTCTGCCCCACCCCCAGTGCCAGAGCATGAAACTCTGCCACTGCTGCCCCACTGCCCTCCCTTGGCTATGCCCATGGCTGGGGCAGATGGGAACTGGAGTCTGACAATAGAGCCCTCTTTCGTAGGACAATCCCTGCATCGTACTATCCTTTCCTCGCAGAGAGACGCACAGCAGTTTGAGGTGTGCAAAGCTCCCATTCTGAAAACGTTAAGTCGGTCTTGGGAATGGTTTTCAGCCCCATGGGCCGCACTGCAACATTCTGGGGGCCACATGCCAATTGTGGGTGGGGCCAGAGGCAAAAAGCAATTAGGTGAAGCAATAGATATAATGTTTACTTTTGTACAGTAGGCAAGTTTCTCAGAGTCCCCACAGAAGAAAGATTCATTCGTTTATTTTTCAAAGGGCTCCCCACCACTGTACCTCCATCGGCACTATACATTTAAAAAAGCACCATAACACTTTGAACAATCATGGCTTCCCCCAAAGAATTATGGGAGCTGAAGCACGCTGAGAGTTGTTGGGAGGGCCCAATTCACCCCACAGAGCTACAACTCCCAGAGTTCCCTGGGAAGAGGGCTTCATTTTGAAACCACTGTGGAATGTGTAGCTCTGTGAGGGGAACAGGGGCCTGCTAACCACACTCTTCGTGAACTACAGTTCCCATCATCCTCTGGGGGGAAACATGACTTTTAAAGCTGCTGAGAGTAGTTAGGAGACCCCTGTTCCCCTCACACAGACCTCAGGTTAAGTACTTAATTTGTTCCGGAGGTTCGTTCTTAACCTGAAACTGTTCTTAACCTGAAGCACCACTTTAGCTAATGGGGCCTCCTGCTGCTGCCGCGCCGCCAGAGCACAATTTCTGTTCTCATCCTGAAGCAAAGTTCTTAACCTGAAGCACTATTTCTGGGTTAGCAGAGTCTGTAACCTGAAGCGTATGTAACCTGAAGCATATGTAACCTGAGGTACCACTGTATTCCACAGTGGTTTAAAAACAAAGCCCTTTTCCCAGGGGACTCTGGGAATTGTAGTTCTGCGAGGGGAGGAAGCGTCTGCTCCTAACAACTCTCAGCACCCTTGACAAACAACACTTCCCAGAATCCTCTGGGGCTGTTTAAAGTGGTGACATGCTGCTTTAGATGGAGAGCGCAGATGGAGCCAGATCTGTTGCTGCCATGCCAATGTCCTGCTTGTCCGACTCCCATCCGCATCTGGTTGGGGGATGCCAGATGCTAGACTGGACAGGCCTTTGGTCTGAGAACCTCCTGATATCTTCCCTCTTCTGCTATTTATCTCTGAATGAACAGTGCCGGCACATCCGCCAGCCTGTCTGCGCCAGCGCGAGCGGGGGAGGCAGCGCAGCGCTGGGGAGGGGGCAGCGGCTTCCCCCTGCTTCTGCGGGGAGGCTGCTGAGCGACACTTTCAGGGCGGGATTTCAAAGGGTTTCCTATGGCTGAATGTTCCCGACTCCTGCCATTCCTTTGTGCTCTTTCAGCGGCGGATGAAAGCCACCTTTTATCCTCCCAATTGCAGTACAACAGCCCTGCCAGCTTTCAAAAACAGCTCTTTCCTCACCACCCACCCACCCCATCTTCCCCCTCCGCTGCCTCCTTCTCCGGAGGGTCCAATGTCTCTGCTCTGAGAGTTCACCTTACAGACCCAGATTGGAGGGTGGGGGTTATCAAACAAATATATCCTTGCGGGGAGGAGGTGATTTGATGATGCTTTAAACTGCACAGCTGCTATTTTTTGCTTCACGGTAGCCTTTCCTATTATTTATTTGAGAGTTTCAGACAGGAGGTCATAGAATCATACAATTGTAGGGTTGGGAGGGACCCTAGAGGGCAATCTAGTCCAACCCCCCGCAATGCAGAAATCTAAACTTAAGCTTCTATGGCAGATGGCTGGTCTCCCCCAGCCCTGCTAGGAGATGCCAGGGGCTGAATTTGGGGCCTTTTCCAGGCATCTCAGCTTTCCTATCCATCCACCAAGATACAGAATCATAGAACTATAAGGTGGGAAAGGACCCAAGGATCAGTTGTCTAGTCCCCTGCAATACAGAAATCACAGCTAAAGGACCCCTGGTGGTGGCCGTCCAACCTCTGCTCAGAAACCTAAAATCAAGGAGAGTCCACCACTTCCTGGGGGAGTCCGTTCCACTGCCTTGGAACTCATACCATCAGAAAGTTTTTGCTAACGTTTAGTCAGAATCTCCTTTCCTGCAGTTGAATCCTCCCCTCCGGGGCAGTGGGATGTGGGTGGCGCTGTGGGTTAAACCACGGAGCCTAGGGCTTACCGCTCAGAAGGTTGGCGGTTCGAATCCCTGCGATGGGGTGAGCTCCCGTTGCTTGGTCCCTGCTCCTGCCAACCTAGCAGTTCAGAAGCACGTCAAAGTGCAAGTAGATAAATAGGTACTGCTCTGGCGGGAAGGTAAACGGCGTTTCCGTGCGCTGCTCTGGTTCGCCAGAAGCGGCTTAGTCATGCTGGCCACATGATCAGCTGTATACCGGCTCCCTCAGCCAATAAAACGAGATGAGCGCCGCAACCCCAGAGTCGGCCACGACTGGACCTAATGGTCATGGGTCCATTTACCTTTACCTCCGGGGCAGCAGAAAAGCAAGCTTGCTCCCTTTTTATGAGGTAGCACTCCAGGTATTCAAAGATGGCTATCCTACTGCCTCCACTCGTCCCCAAACTTTCCAGTGGATTTGCTTTTATGTACTTATTTTTTACATTTACTTCCCACGACTCTTATCCACTTTCCCTATTGTCCTCACAACCACCCTGTGAGGTGGGTTAGGCCAAGTTTCATGAGAGGGGATTCGAACCACCGTCTCTCCCCATGCTCTAATCATTACACAACACTTTCCCCTGTCACTTTCCTTACTGCAAAAAGTCCCGGATTCCTCTTGGGGACAACCAGACTAGGGGCCACATGGCAATGGCAGCCATAGCCAGAGAGGAAAGTGGACAGGACAACACATGTGACTCTCTGTACTTTGTGTGCGCTTATTTCCCTCAGAGATATTCCAGGTTCCTCCCTGAATTTTCATCTGCCGCTTCAAATGAAAGGCAGTCTTGTCCTACCCCCACAGTTTAAAACCCCAAATTGCAACCTTTTTCTTCAGTCCCTTAGAACCTGGGTTCGAATCCTCCGTTCAACCACAAAGCTCACAAGGTGGCTGGGAGGATAACACAGAGAGGGTGAGTACGCTATCCTGAGGTCCATAGAGGGAAGGTGGGATATAAAAAGCGAAAATAAATCACAATAAATTTGAAGTAGAGAGGCTGACGAGTAAGCTTGGGACCTTCTGAATGCCGAGCTTTACCACTGAGATGCGGGGAAGGACACTCCTAGAGAGGCCCCGCCCCCCTGCAGATGCTTCCTGTCTGTCACAATGCCTTGAATTTCGCTGGTTTCTGAATGTAAACCAGGACTGGGTCTGCACAACAAGGGAAAGAGGAAGACTGCCGAAGGATGGAACTGGAGGCAGGGAAAGACGAACGAATGGGACACAGAGACACCTCTGACACGACATGTATAGACTTACTGCCCTGGCTGGGTTGCCCTGGTCGATGGGGTTCTTGAAGTCCATGTGCAATTCGTCAAAGGCAATTATCTAAATGGGGAGAGAGAGAGAGAGAGAGAGAGAGAGATTATTGAGAGGACCTGTCAAGCCATGAGAAGCAAACATCAAACTGTAGCATCAGCAAGCGCCAACGCAGGTGTTTATGTAAATCAAGGATACGTTCCTGTCGTTTATTGAATGGCTTCGCTTATATCCAGGGCTCTGCTTTTCTTCTGCTGTTTCCTTGCGCAAAGGAGTTTTTCAATGCGAGTGGAAAGAGGAGATGGAGCAAAGAAGGAAGGACGCAGCTCCCACCAGTTATACATCTGGAGGCAGGGAACCTGCTCAGTCCTTCTCTTTTGAAAATAAAACAAATGTGCCTTTTTTTTTTTACAGTTTTGCACTTGCCAGTAGCTTTATTCTCCAGATGCATTTTATCTGCCACAGATTTCACTCTCTTATTTATTTTTATTCTTCAGCTCTGGCATTTTGCGGAATTAGCACTGTTCCAGGTGCTGCATAATACTTGTTCTGCATTGATAAGAATTCAATCTTTTATAGCGTGGCAGAACCCAAAACTTCGGAACTCCCGGCCTATTGACAACCTTTGCTGTACTCTATTCAGTGCTTGCTTAAAACATTTTTGTTTAGGCAACCCTCTCCAGACTTGTAGAAAACTGATGTGCTTTAAATTGGGATTTTAGTTTATCGTTAACTTAAATTATTATTTGAATGTGTTAGACAAAAGTTTTTTACTGATGATTATATTGTTTTATTCTTCTTGTAAACTGCGTTGAGGTTTTATTGCAACCAAGTGGTAGATAAATCACGTGAAATAAATGCATTAATAAATAAATTTTATGAGCTTGTGAACTGCCCATTGCCTCCTGAGCAATACAGAAAGGTAGATAACAAATAGATGCATTTTGGATGTTACATTTTAAAAACAACCACAATGGCCACCTGGACATTCAGCTGCAAGAAATGTGCATGGACCTGAACTGCCCATAACATTATCATTGTTTTAAAAATCAGCATGTTTTTAACATCACTTTTTTTTATTAAAATTTTTAATACGTATGTGTCAGGGGCTCAGGGGCAGAGCCACGGGGGAAAGAGGCGTTGGAGAGCGAAGGGGAGGAATCTGAGTGGAGCTTAGGAGGATATGACAGTGACTTGAGAGATTCCATGAGTCTCTCCAGCGAATCAGAAGATTCTCAGAAAGAGGCGCCCAGGGTCAGGGCAAGGGGGGCCAGCGGGGAGTCCCCAAGCGGCAGCTGGAGATCAGGGCCAGCTTCCCTGCCAGAGCGTAGCGGGGGGGGGGGGGAAGAAGCCCACAGATCAGAACCGGCGTCAACTCCAGCAGGGAGAGAGAGTCAGAACTGACCACGCCTCCGTCGGAGAGTGGAGGGGCGGAGCGGAGTTCAGTTCCAGCCAGCCCCTCCGAAGGAGGAAGCAGTGACAGGAGCAGTGTAGCCGTTAGGAGGAAAGTGGCCGGCTGGGCGCGCGCGACAAGTTCAAATGTGCAGGCGCGCGGGTCAGCAGAAAATCCAGATTGGGAGCCAGGTCCCAAAGCCCGCCGGAGACAGGGGGAGGAGTCAGAGGAATCCGCCTCCGAAGAGTCCAGGAGGGGTGGGACCCCAGGGGGCAGGAGGACCCAGAGGAGAAGAGAGCAGAGGAAGAGGTTAAATTTTGTTAAATAAATATATAATTAATAAGCTAACATTAACATATGTGTCATAGAACAGGGGTGTGGCCTAAATGTGGCCCTCTAAACCTTTCTATCAGGCCCTTGGGACTCTCCCCAGGCCACAACCCCTGTCCGGTCTTGCTTTTCACCCTCGGGTGTTTTTTGCCTGGCTGGAATGTGTCTTCAACTCTGATCATGCCTCTTGCTTGCCTGAATGGTGGACAGAAGGGGCTGTGTGTCCATGTGCGCAGAAACTAGCCTCTGCGAGAGGTCCGTCCGGAGGGTGGCAACACGAGAACAGGGCCTTTTCTGCAGTGGCTCCCTGCTTGCAGAATGCTCTCCCAAGAGAGGCTCACCTGGCACCTTCGTTACATATCCTCTTCTCCCAGACCTTTGGCTACTTAAACATTCTATGGGCTTTTATACTGGGGGGGGGGAACGGTGTTACTGTTTTTGTTTGTTACTATGTTGTGCATTTTTGTCTTTTTATATTGTAAACTGCCCAGTGATCCTCGGATGAAGGGTGGTATAGAAATGTTGTTGTTGTTGTTGTTGTTGATGTTGATGATGATGATGATGTCGTTGTTGTTATCAGCCAAAGGGGAAATTTGCTTCTGTTGCTCCACTTGCTTTTTCTCTGACTCTTTCCATCACTAGCTTTTGGCCCAGGAAAGTGACCCAGAATCCCCAGATTGAAAAAGATCAAAGGGAGATTTAGGGGAGCATGACCTGTTCACCTGCATGGGGTGCTGAGGCGAGAGGATGCTGCAGCAGTGATGTAGAACGGAAGCCAAGAGGTGTGGGAGCACCAAATTTTGGTATCACACAGGACGCCCTTGAAATTTGAAATCCAAAAGTCCAACAATGCAATTTCCCACCCTCATCAAAGACAGATTAGTTTCTGCTCAGTCATTTGCGAACTCTGAAGCACACATGAATCAGCTAGGGCCAGATCAAAGGGTGGAGGCTTCCGATGTGACCGTGTTAATCTCGCCTCTAAAAAGCACCCTGTTATAATCTGCGTCCATAATCACACACCGCACACTGTAGTTGTTTTGGAAATTTCTATTTATTACTTCCATTCTCTCTAATGACTGTGTTTTTCTGCACAATTGTTCACAACTCTTCTAGGGGGCTGGGTGGAGACTCAATAAAAAAGAAAATTAAAAAAATGATTAAGAATAGCTCATAAAAATATCAACACTTGAACATGCAACCCGCAGGTAGATTGCCACACATTAACAGCACATTTGTAATTTTCAAGTCCAGCATGTACCTTTAGGGAAATGTCAATAATCAATAAGATGCATATGTGATTTCACATTGTTATCTACACAGAGAAATAGCTGTGGTCTTTTTTTATCAGCACCATTCTTTTAATTAAAAAATAAATAACATTAAATTGCTTCTCTCAAATTTCCAGTCACCGGTTCCTATCCTGGCCTCTGGAGCGAAGGAGAACAGTGAGCCCCATCTTCCACACGACAGTTCTTGCTGATATTTGGGGGCGGCTGTTGGGTCTCCCCTGAATCTCAACATTGGAATTTATAACTACAAAGTCCATCACGCTTAGCCTTGTCTACACCAGGTGTGAGGAACCTTTAGCCCTCCAGATGTTGCTGAACCACAACTGCCACCATCCCAGGCCACTAGTTTTGATGAGAGTTGTAGCTCAGCAACATCTGGAAGAATTTGATATTTGATATTTAAAACAAAAACATGCAAGTAGCCATCAAGGAGAAAACCAGAACTGGGTTAGACTTCCTTACACTCTGCACTCTTCCCCATTTTCCTGCTTTTTAAAAATTACAGTGGTACCTCAGGTTACAGACGCTTCAGGTTACAGACGCTTCAGGTTAGAGACTCCGCTAACCCAGAAATAGTACCTCGGGTTAAGAACTTTGCTTTAGGATGAGAACAGAAATTGTGTGGCGGTGGCGAGGCAGCAGCGGGAGGCCACATTATCTAAAGTGGTACCTCAGGTTAAGAACAGTTTCAGGTTAAGAACGGACCTCCAGAACGAATTAAGTTCTTAACCCAAGGTACCACTGTACTTATTCCCACCTAAACTAAGACAGAGATTTTCAACCTTTTTGAGTCCACGGCTCCCTCGACCAACTACATTCTTCCTGCGGCACCCCTGTGGGGCTCAGAGCCCTGCTATGTCACCCCTTGCCTGCCTGCAGAGCTGGCAGCCTCTCGCCCTTTTTTGAACCCCCTTCCCTTGTGGAGAGTTTCTTCAGCCTCCTCTCCTTGGATGTCCTCTGGGCAGCTGCTGCTGCCACCCGTGGTCTCTGAGCTGCTGCCCCTGTCCCAAAGAGAGCTGCCTCCTCACACTGCCCCACAGGGGCCTGGGAAGAGGAGGCCCCCAGCCATAGTGGTCCAAAGGTAAAGGGACCCCTGACCATTAGGTCCAGTCGCGAACGACTCTGGGGTTGCGGCGCTCATCTCTCTTTACTGGCCGAGGGAGCCGGCGTACAGCTTCTGGGTCATGTGGCCAGCATGACTAAGCCGCTTCTGGCAAACCAGAGCAGCGCACAGAAACACCGTTTACCTTCCCGCCAGAGCGGTACCTATTTATCTACTTGCACTTTGACGTGCTTTCAAACTGCTAGGTTGGCAGGAGCTGGGATCGAACAACGGGAGCTCACCCCGTCGCGGGGATTCGAACTGCCGACCTTCTGATCAGCAAGCCCTAGGCTCTGTGGTTTAGACCACAGCACCACCCATGATGGTCCAAAGGAGACTGGCTAAAGGTGGATGTGAGGCCAGCACCTTACCTTGGGAGGCAGCAGTGGCGGCAGCAGGTACTGCCAAGCCTGCATGAGGAAAAGGCTCCTCTTCAGCACTGGGCACTCAGTTCCCAGGCTGGCACTGCACACAGCAAGCACAAGAAAGGCCAGTGCAGTGCCTGCCTGCCCTCCAACAAGTCTGTCCATTCCCAACAGCAAGGGCTGGAGGACTGGCTGGCTGGGTTCCCTCGTCCACTTGCTTGCTTACTCCGAGGTCGCCTCACCTTCTGGCAACCAGCACCCCCTGGCCAGCCCCAGAGGGACCATTCGCCGGGGCAGCTTGTAGCCAGGGCCGCTGCAACAAACAGCTGTGCAAGCCTTTGGGAGGCAGAGACACAAGAAGGAATCAGAGGAGGGAGGGAAGGAAAGAGGGACAGAGGCCAGTGTTGACCGCGGCACCCCTGACCAACATTTAAGGCACCCCAGGGTGCCACGGCACACTGGTTGAAAACCACTGAACTAGGGGGTGCCCTACTAATGGAGGTTGTAATAATGCAACGAAATCAGATCCTGTATTGTTGCAATGCATGTTTTATTATTATTGATGGATTCCATGCCCTTAGCTCAGC